TTTGATGTCCTAGATTACAATTTCACTCTAGAGAACCTAAAATCGGTTAAAAAATAACCAAGAAATAACATTAAAGTCAAAAAATCTAATAAATCCACAGCAATTCAAATTAAATTCAATTATTTCAACTGAACTGTCAACTAAAATTGTCAAAAATGGTATCTCATGACGTCGAATCAGGCTCTGATGCATGGATATAAAACAGTGTTACACTCATTCCTTCGTATTTTTATTTAATAGCTATATGCAATTACGGTTAATTAAACGCGACAAAAATTATCATGACAAATATACACAACGTCCTAGTGTTTAGATATAAAATTACGGATAACAAAAAAACCAAAAAAATTATTAGCGCCGCCAATGATTTGAACAGATTTTCATTTGTACAGAGGCCTAACATTGAAGTAAAAAAATCTACTGAAATTAATTGAAAAAAAAATCTGTAAATATTCCAGTAATATGCCATGTAAGGATCCAAATACTTTAGTAAATAGGCTATGAAAAAATACATTTTGACATTTTGTATTGTGCAAATAAGTTTCCAGGATAAACAAAACTGAATTTTAGATTAGTCTTGAGTTAAATAGATATCAGAAAATTAAAAAAAAAAACAATAATTAAGTTCTATACTATCGAAAAAAAAACGTCAGCAGAGTTGGCTATGGAAATGACTCTCTCTGTCATTTTATATGTAAAATATCATGGTAAATGTCATCCATTGTCATTTCCACGCCAACTTAACGCCTTTTTATTTTGGTATTATGATACAGACAGGTATTTGTTTATGCATATTTATTTAATGTGTCAAATCACCTGTCAATTGCAAAAGAACACATTTTATGCTAAAAATCTTTATAATTCAAGACTTTAAATATGTATGTTAAACTATAATAATATTTACTACAGAAGTGTATAACTAAACTATATGGTGCTTTTGAAAAATATTTCAGTAAAATCCAAAAATATATGGATTTTTACAAAATAAGACTCTCAATCAAGTATATTTAGAAATGAATCGTAAAAAACGCATATAACAAAAAATTGCTACATATATTTTCATTTACTCTTGTAACAAAATTTCTCAGTATTTTTTAAAAGCACACATATCTACAGAACAAATGTCATCGATGTAGATAAATTAGAATGTTCATATTCTAAATAAATAAAAAAACTTTAGATATTTAAAAAAATGACGTTTGTTCTTCTAGTATACGATAGATAAATTCTCTCAAAATACTTTACTTAAAATTGGATAAAAACATTTAAAATCGGATATTTGAACAGATTTTATCTTGAAAAAAAAAATCCTAAAATTGAAATAAAAAAACTACTGAATTAATTGTAGAAAAAATCTGTGAATATTTTGGGATGAATTATCTATGGATCGACAATTTCTAATAATAAATATCTTAAAGTATATTACAAAACCAGATATTTTGGCTCTATAGAAAAACTAAAGCCTTTTGTACTACGGCTTAACGTGTTTAGATCTTAACGAAAAAACAAATGCATTTCATTGTTAGAGTAGAAGCAAAACGTGTATTGGCAGTAGGTATTATAATTTTATTCGAATACCGAATATCGAATTCAACTAAAAAAAGGTCTTATTTATTTGTAAATACATATATTAAACAAAAAATAGTCTCTACTATAAGATCTTTTGTCAAATTGCATATTATAAAAATACGCTTATGCAGGTGGATAATATATAGGTTTAAGTTTCTTTAATAGCAAATTTAAATGGAAATCCAAAATTGTATTTTCAAACATTCAAATAAAATTATTAATACTAGATGTTTTTTATTTCAACTTCCTAGTAGGTCTGTTCTCAGAAGAATCCCTGACTAGTCAGCGCGTTTCTTATTGGTGGAAATGTGTAGAAACCAGACTAACAATCAGGTTTCTACGCATTTTAACCAATGAGAAACGTGCTGACTAGTCAGGGATTCTTCTGAGAACAGACCTAGTTTCATTTGGTTTGACTGCATACAGGGCAAAAGTGCGTCGGGCATCTGTAGCTTCTATAATAACAAACTTAGGAATTCTGTATAAGTGTAAACCTAAAATATGTACTAGGATATCTTTCAGGAAAATATTTTAACTTCTATAGGGTGGCTCAAAAAAGTGCGAGTGGATCGGGATGATATTTTTTAAATGGAACACCCTGTATATTATTGTATTTTTGGCTTCATTTCCGATTACTTTACATAATCCTAAGATATCAGTAAATATATTTCGATAGTTTCAGAGATATTAATAAATAAATAAAAAATATATGGTTTTCAGTAGTGGAGGGAAAAAATTAAAAAATATTATTCTCAAAAAAATATTAAAAATACAAGAACTGTGCTGAAATCAAAACTCTATTAGATATTTACTTTAGATGGTCTGTACTTACTTTGCTATAAATATGGTAATCGTAAATCATACAGGATGTTCAAAATTCTACGCCAAACTTTTTAAAATATAAAATAATTTTTCTTGGTTTTTTTAAATGGAACACTTTGTATATTATTTTTCAATCGATGGAGAATTAAAAAGTAAACATTTTTTGTATTTAAAGTATTTCAAAATTTTTAATGGTTTCGCAGATATTCCCAGTTTTATATTTCATACGGCATTTTCCACAGTAATTTTTTTTCAAAGCCACTCAATGATTTTTCTCTCGTATTTTACCGTCCAAAGAGCCATAGGAAATAATATCTACGAAACCATTAAACATTTTGAAATACTTTAAATACAAAAAAATGTTCATTTTTTATTACTCCATCTAATAAAGAATAATATACAGGGTGTTCCATTAAAAAAAGGAAGAAAAATTATTTTATATTTTAGAAAGTTTGGCGTAGAATTTTGAACATCCTGTATGATATAAGATTAAGGTATTTGTAGAAAAGTAAGTATTTTTTTGTTTTCACTCTTGGCTTTAGGTCATTGGGGTTGTAAAGATGTTTCTAGATTTTGTTCATTATTTTTTTATTTTGTGACGACGTTTCGACAGTATATGTCTTTTTCAAGCCTCTTGAACGTAGATTCTTACAGAGTTAAAATTGGTTAAAATTGGTCAGTAGACATCGGGTAATTGAACCGATAAGTGTGTTTTATACAGAGCGATCTGCAAGGAAATACGTACGTGCTCGTAGTAAAGTGTAATGTCCAAAAAGAATTAAAAAAAATAGTTAATATGTGTTATTGTGTTGTCCAGTTTAACCAATTTTAACTCTGTAAGAATCTACGTTCAAGAGACTTGAAAAAGACATATACTGTCGAAACGTCGTCACAAAATAAAAAAATAATGAACAAAATCTAGAAACATCTTTACAACCCCAATGACCTAAAGCCAAGAGTGAAAACAAAAAAATACTTACTTTTCTACAAATACCTTAATCTTATATCATACAGGATGTTCAAAATTCTACGCCAAACTTTCTAAAATATAAAATAATTTTTCTTCCTTTTTTTAATGGAACACCCTGTATATTATTCTTTATTAGATGGAGTAATAAAAAATGAACATTTTTTTGTATTTAAAGTATTTCAAAATGTTTAATGGTTTCGTAGATATTATTTCCTATGGCTCTTTGGACGGTAAAATACGAGAGAAAAATCATTGAGTGGCTTTGAAAAAAAATTACTGTGGAAAATGCCGTATGAAATATAAAACTGGGAATATCTGCGAAACCATTAAAAATTTTGAAATACTTTAAATACAAAAAATGTTTACTTTTTAATTCTCCATCGATTGAAAAATAATATACAAAGTGTTCCATTTAAAAAAACCAAGAAAAATTATTTTATATTTTAAAAAGTTTGGCGTAGAATTTTGAACATCCTGTATGATTTACGATTACCATATTTATAGCAAAGTAAGTACAGACCATCTAAAGTAAATATCTAATAGAGTTTTGATTTCAGCACAGTTCTTGTATTTTTAATATTTTTTTGAGAATAATATTTTTTAATTTTTTCCCTCCACTACTGAAAACCATATATTTTTTAATTTATTTACGAATATCTCTGAAACTATCAAAATATATTTACTCATATCTTAGGATTAAGTAAAGTGATCTGAAGGGAAGCCAAAAATGCAATAATATACAGGGTGTTCCATTTAAAAAATATCATCCCGATCCACTCACTCTCTTTTGAGCCACCCTATAGAAGTTAAAATATTTTCCTGTAATACATCCTCTATGATCCGCTACATACTTTAAGCAAAGCTTTAAGTTCGGACGACGCGTCCCATCAATAAAAATTCGACAAATTTGCAAGTAGCCAATGAAGTGAGTGGGCGGATTGTTACGCGGTGACATACTCGTCAAGTCCACATGGTCCACATGGACTTACGCGGTGACATACTCGTCAAGTCCACATGGTCCACATGGACTTTCTGACGCTTCTATATAGGTAACGACTTATAAAATAGATTGCTGGATATTTAAATGTCTTTGTCTGCATCCTTTGCATAAACACAAATCCAGTAGACGTACTTTATATGGTTTTAATTTCAACTCGATTCTTCCACGCGTTCCCGAGATAAAGGGTCTTGACAGACGGACAAAAAAATGATTCTATAAGGCCCAGCGCCCACGGTGCGACTGTTTTGTGATAAAAGTTGCATTTTGGTTGAGCTTGCAACTATTTTGCAACCTCGGTAACGTCTAGTAGTGTGAAGCCGCACACAAATCGATTCAAATGAAACTAGTTTGTAATCAGTCACAAATCTGTTGTACGCGACCATTTCCCGCGGTCGCATTTGCGTTGAAGTTTTGTAAAGTTGCTCGTATTCAAGTGACTTCCACGTGGTTATTTTATATATTTCAAAATAGGTGAAGAGGTTTAATAATTTAATAATTTTTTTTCGAGCTCATGAGTATTTTGAAAATTAGCCCGAGTCAGTATATCTTATTACTATATACTTACTTATATTTTCAACTACTTATATTTAAAATATTTACGAATTAGAAAGTATGTAAAGGATTTTTTAAAACACAAAATTCGATAACATCTCTTTACTCTTTATTCTCTTAAAATATTACAGTTTATTAGTAAAGAAATCGTGATATTTTAATGTAGCTATAAGCCCATCTTTATTGACAACATCCGTATCATCCAGGTAAGTCAGCAATTGCCCATCTTTGGTTGTCATTTGACCACCCAGAGCCCTTAAAATAGCATTCCCAGCACAAATATCCCATTTCTTAATGGCCGTTATATGAATGTAAGCATCAACCTCTCCTTTAGCTACTTTAAGTACTTTGTATCCTAAAATAAAGTAAAATCCATACATTATCAGTACTTTTATCCACAATTACTTCTAGAATATGAGGACAAAATTGAATATAATGTAATACAATAATTGTTTACCTGAATTATCATGTAATAAATTTAAAAACAGTTATTATAACTAAATACACACACTTCATGCATAAAAGTTATAGAATACTTGTTCATTTTCTCAATTTCACTCTTTATGATTTACATCAGAGATTTAAACTTGCATTATATCCCAATATCAATCCAAACCTAATACATAGTAATTTTTCAAAAACAAAATTCCCAAAGTCCCTTTGATAATACAACTTTTTGTCATACGATATTTCAAAAATCTTATAAAACAATAATTGTTTTATAAGCGCATTTTTTATAATAAAGTAATAATTACTTTATTATAAAGAATTATACATTTTGCGTGCAATAAATTAAGTATAATTTTTGCATGTGTAACTTTAACATGCATCTAACAGCAATACCATCATACATTATCCCATAGATAAATGAAACAAGTTTAGATTGGAAAGTGCCCATAAGGACAATGTAAACACTATTTGGCGCTATTCTTGCAACGGTCGCGACCCAAAACTTTTGAAAATTTCGGAGCGGTTCGGCTTTTTCCGGAATTATATCGCCAAATATTGTTTATTCAAATTTATTATTATTTTCGTTTAATTTTATAAATAAAAGACAGTGTGTTGCATACAAGAAACTTTATTTTATATAAGGACGCATGTATGAATTACCTATGAAACATTGGAAACCGACGTTATGCCACGATCCACGATGGTTTTAGCAGTTCACAGTTCACAGCACAGCTTTTTAAGTTTTTAATGCCACTTTTTCACAATTATCACCGGTTGGAGTAAATAAAACTCGAATTAAACTCACAAGATAGCAATTATTACTTTGAAAATGGACGCTATAAACACTTTTCGGAATTTCTTTAATGAGAGCGGTTTAGATTTTGAAAGATTATTATGATTTTAGAAGATTCTGACTTTGAAAAGAGAAAATTATTTCTGTTTTTGTTTGTCGTTGTTCTTAGCGACCGCTATAGCAGCGCCAGATCGCGTATAACGGTCGCGACCCAAAATAATTTCGCGACCTAAAATTTTTACGGGCTTTCCAATCTAAACTTGTTGCATTTATCTATGCATTATCCAAACATGACAACAACAAATGACACATTTTACATACAGGGTTCTCAAAATACTTAAAAATATGACAAAGCTACGATTTCAAGATCAACATGAACGGTAACCGGGACTGCGTGAAATATAGAGACGGAAATTCTGCTCTCCAATCCTTCCCGAGCCCTTCTCTACCATGCCGAGCGCTGATATAGAAATTTTAAAATCAACTAAAATACACCAAACCTATACTTTTTAGACATTATATATTCAACCTAGATGCACATAGTGGATTTTTAAAAATTTTACCTGCTCCAGCTGCAATAACCACTTCATAGTTTTTAAAGTTTTTCTCCAATGCCTGTTCTACTGTACCTCGGTGTGATCTTGATATAATAAATTTTACCTTACCGTCTTCCATTACGGGTTTCTAAAACTTAATACATTACTAAATATCCATCTGGATATATGTGCGTTCCTTCTTAGCATACTGGATTTTTTAAGTCATCTGAGGTTCCTCCTCCTACCATCGCCCAAGAAGTTGTATTCTCGAACGGGTTATGTATTATCCCTATAATAGGTTCTCCCTTAACAGCTATGCACACCATTGTTGTAACATATTTAAATAGTTTTTCTGAAAATATAGAGTGTACTTAACTATTACATCCTCCAAAGTACTATATAATAAAAAAAACGTCATTAAGTACATTCTTCATTCAATCGTCAAAAAATGATCGATTACATTCCCCATATAATTTTACATATAAAATGACATCAATCTTCATTTCATAGCCATCTCTGTCTTTTTATATGTATAATTATATGGGGAATGTCAGCGATCAACATTTCCAAGCCAACTGGACACCGTTTTTTTTTCGATCATAAGTCCTGAGTATCTTACACAAAATATGGAAAATAAAATTACCAGTATATTCATGTGTAGCATCCAGTGGATCAATCCAAATAGTCACATCATTACTATTGGCAAACTTATTTGATAAGTTAATTGGAATATCATGATTTGGTATCTTCTGCTTAATATCGCATGGTATATTTTTTTCTTCTGAAATAAATTTTACTGTGGGAAATTTGCCTGTCAATATTTTCACCATGGCACAGTGCGAAAGAAAATCTGCATTTGTAACGCTGTCATCTAAACCTTCTTTTGTTTTTCCTTTGTAATGAACTTCTGGATTATTTCTTACTTGTACCACAAACTGACCACCAACTTCAGCAGCAAGTATTGCTGTTTGTAATAAGGAAGAGAGATTTATTCTACTATTATCATCACGTTTAAAGCCATTAGTAAAGTGATAATAAACCATTATTAGGAAAACTAGGAAAAGGAATACATAGCCTTTTTGATTCAATCTAACGATTCCGTTACAGAACATATTTATTCCTTGACTTTAACTTCCACGCTATGTTAAATCATGACTCGTTATTTAGCTAAAATAAATGTACATATATACTCATATTAAACAGAAATAATTATTTATAAATTGAACATTACTTTGTTTACATATCTCAAACTGAGGTTATGTGATCATTGTGTGTTGTGTGCCATAGTTGTGTGGGTGGAGATGTCAGATCGTGTGCAAGGTGCAAGAACTGCAAGGTGCGCAAGCATGTAGCATGTGCAAAGATTACATAGGTGTGCAAAGCAGATGCAAAGATTCATAAAAAACTAAGATGTCAATAGCCGATAGTTCCTAAGATCCAACCTAAGATGTATCGGGATGTGTTAAGGTATATTCCAAATGTATATTGCATACAAATTATTATCAACTTCTGTAATTAAATCCTTAAAACTAAGGGGCACGCCGGTACGGTAAAAATGACCAAATACGCAATTTACAATAAATTATATTACTTATTTAAGTATCATACGGAAATCATAAAAGACACACTATAACACGTCAACACTTATATCTAATTTATAAATCTACAAAGACTAGAAAACAGATATATGTTAATTTTTGTACAATGTAAATTAGAATATTTTTCAGGGCGAATTAGTAACTAATTCTGATGTATATCATACAGTAACTGTTAATAGCTACTGGGAATGTGGTTAACTACTACTTTTTCCTTCAGAAAAGCAAAACTATTAATATAACACTAGAAATAAATGAGATCAAACTTACAAAAGTAATAAATTAAAAATAAATAGTTTTATAAACAATAATCATTGAGTACGTATCTGGAGCTAAAGTGTTTAAAACAAATTACATTAAAGCATACAAAGTCAAAAATATTATACTTCGAAAAAAAATAAGTATGTCATAAACATATCTTGAACAGGTCGACAAACTTTTATTTGAGGAGGTAAATGATATCCTCAATACTATGAAACATAAAAATTCTTTGGCATACATTACTTGATAACAAGTAACTGCAGACTATCCATCAGTCGAATACGAATATTGAACAGTAACTTAGATTACTTTTTCAGTCAATTTTAGGGGATCTTCTGTCGAAATTACATACTCTCTCTCTGGATAGACTATAGTGTAATTAGATTCTTTATTGTGTGTTCTAATATGTTTTAAAAGATTGTCATGTCTAGAAAAACTTTTGTTGCAAATTTCACAGGTAAAATTTCTCTCCCCTGAATGCAAAACCATATGCCTAATAAGATGTTCTTTTCTAACAAATGATTTTTTGCATTCGACGCAACGATATGGCCTTAAGCTGCTGTGCAGTTTGAAATGTTGGTACAAATGTTCTCTCCTTTTAAAGCTCTTCGAACATACCTCACAAATGTGTGTTTTTATAGAGCCTGGCTCTTTTGTAGGTTTTCTTGATAAATCTTCACTTATGACTTTTTCTTGTACTGGACTTAACATATAGGTTGGTGAACGCAGATCTTCCAAATTAACACTGGAAGGGGGAGGTTCATTTACAGTTTTTAACAACTCCAAATTGTGGTCAGAATTGTTATTATCATTATTCATTCCGATAATATTTGCAGTTGAAGAAGGAACTGTAACTGATGATACTTGAGAGAATGTAGTGTTACTTGTAGATGTTGATATGAGACTACCCTAAGGAAATATTAATGTAATTTATACTACATTGGTACAATAATCTATTTTGATTATACCTGATATTGGGAAAGTGGAAAAATCACTGATGTATTTTGAACTACTGCAGGCGCTGCACTGTGTACATTTTCTTTGATAATCGAATCTAAATTAAATTTATTTACAGTTGTTTCTTTTATACCTTTGGTTAAATCTATTTTGACAATATTCTGGTCAATTAATATTGGTTCCTTGATAAACTTATCAGTATTTGCTTTGGTTTTGTTATTCTTTATATTGTTAAGTCCAATTATCACATTGGTGGGAATACTTATGGGATCCAATGTTATTAAATCAGAGTGAGGTAAATTAATGACTTCACCATTAGAATTTACGGTCACTTTACTTATAATTTCTTTTGGTAATTGTTGAACTGCTTTCTTTAGAGTTTCATTTAAAAAATCCACTGTATATGGTATCTGAACATTTTGATTAGGAACGATTGCGCCCGCAAGTTCACAAAATTTATTTTTATTGTTTTGTTCAGTTTTAATATTTGCTTGAGTTTGTAATATGCTTTTTCCAACTGCATTTTGCTTTTGTTCAACAACTTTTTGACTTTCCTTTATTAATATATCTAACTTATTGATTGGTGAGTTTCTTACTATATCATTAGATAAATCAATTTTTGCTGTATCTTTAATGTACACCTTAAATTATTTTCAATAAAATTAGGCATAAGATAAAATTTAATAGACATTACCTTTCCCGATTTTTTAAAATCTTCAGTATGTCTGTAATTTTTAAAATAACTAGAAAGCATCTTTTCTGATTTTCGACATTCTTCTCGAAATGCATTACAAACTTCTAGCTGATTTATGCATCTCGAACAAACAACTTTAGGAAGAAAGTCATCTTCTGTTATCTAAAATAACAAAAATGTTTCGATATATATTTATTAGTAATATAAATAACGAAAATATTACGGTCATCGACAGGCATTTCTTGATTTTGGATTGAAGTTGAATTTCTTGACCTATCAGCTCAAAGATGTTAAATTTAGTATCCTGTATACTTTGGGCACATAATCTGCATAAATCGTAAAAATTTACTCGTCTATAAGGACTAGACATAGTAAATATTTTACTGAAATATTAAATTTTCATATTATTTAAAATATTTTGTTTATAATATGTCACTCTTAATGACAACCTTACCAAACCTTACCACAGAATTTATTTCATTATTTGCTTGTCAAACTCAGTGTTGCCAACAGAATAAATTATATTTCTTAGTTTACTGGTGATCTGTGGTAAAAATGGACCACAGAACAATTATTTATTTGAATATGATTGTTATTCTAGAGGAGAAATGAATTATTATATATGATCTAGCCAAGGATATGATCTAGCGTTATTCTAGAAATCGTCACTTCATATCTAATTGTGCAAATCACATACGTTGTAAAAAAATACAGTGGGATCAATAAATACAACAGACCTGTATAAAAAAATATTTAATTGAAGCTTTTTTTAACAATTAAAATATTTAATAAATAAATATCAAGTTTCACTTAAATAATATCAAGGAGTTTGTAACTAGACTTATATTTTCGACCGTTTTAAATTTTCATGCTTTAGAGATAAGAATTTTATATTTTTTTTTTCTCTAACTCTTAAAATTATTTAAATTTTTTTAACTACAGATCGAATGTTTAACAATAAAATTACCCTTCTTAGAATGCCTACTTTGTAGATCTACCTTAAATGCATTCAAATTTATTTTTTTGATGCTTAAAACTTATAGACTACAAACTTATTTGTAAATAATTTTTTTAACAACAAACCATCCACCTACAATTACGGCTACAACAGCAGCGATACTGACTCCAATAATTAGAGGGGCTTGAGATATAAAAACAGTCTTAATAAACATAAACGTTGTGGGTATTGTATTCTTATAAGATTCGCGTTCCTGTACCCTCCTATAATATTCTTCTACATGAGGTCTAACTCCGTTTGCCCAAAATCTATTTTCTAGTCCTATTTGATTTAGACGTTCTAAAAGGATCGTTAGAGCTATATCAGCAACTGTAAACCTGTCTGTGCACAACCACCAATTCTTTATATCTAAAAAAAATCATATAAATTATATATGTACATTTTTATTAGGTAACCAAAATGAGCCTTAATCACAACTTAGTATGATAAGAAATGTTTAAATAGAAAAATATTTTATTTTATATGGAGCCCAGTCACAGAATACAAAGCTTAAAGGTGCGTCCACATTAAAAAGGCGGTGTTGGATGTATAATAATTCCAAAAGAGATCCCAGCGCAGCACCCTGAAAGAAACTTCTACGCGATTTACAAACAGACAGAATGTGTTTTAATAATTTTTATCGCATGTCCGCCACTTTTGAAAGACTTATTAATTTAGTGGGCCCCCGTATTGAAAGAAATAATACAACTTTTAGGAAGTATATTCTGGTTAAAGGAAGAGTTAAAGAAATATTGGTCATAACATTAAGATTTCTTGCCAATGGAGCTTCGCATACCAGTTTGGGTTATTTATTCAAAGTTTTCAAGCAAATCAATTTGAAAATAGTACTAGGCGTATGCCAATATATGAATAAAGTTCTCAAAGATCAGATTAAGATAAGTAGGCCATATAAATATAGTTATATTTTATTAAAGGTATATTTAATATTATTAATCCAAGAACTAAACACAAATTTGTAATTCTGAACAAAAAAAATAAGAAAAATTATGGTAGAATCATCATACTGCAGTAAATACCGAATCCTATGAATGAAACCAAACTATTAAACTAAACAAACAACGCAAACAGCTCGAGCGCTTCGAACCGCCGTATAGTATGCTTGCATATTGCTCCGAAAGCGTCTCTTTGATGTACCGCGACAGAGCCGAACAGTCGAAACAGCCAATTTATGTAATCACAAGCATGTGGAACACCGCGAGCGTCGCGAACATCTCGTTCCGACTGTTTGCAATTTTTTTCGTGTCTCACGTGTTCGTTCGGCCTGCTCGCGAGCAATGTGGACGCGCCTTTACAAAAACGACAGTAAACGTCGGCTTCTTTGAAGTACGTGTTTCAAATTTGTTGACCTTGAAGTAACAAACTCACTTCTATATACACTGAAAAAATGTCTCAGAGTTTATTGAAATGGTATTTTAAGTACACTGAGAAAAATAATTCCTTTATAGTTTCTTTATTGTGGCATTTGATATTTGTTTTTAAATTTAGTAAATTGAATTTTTAAATAAATACAATTTAAAATTGAATCATAAACATGATCACAAAATCTGTAAAATATACGTAAAAATATAAAGAGTAATTAATATGCGCAAGTAGCCATATCCTTCAAGGTAATGTTGTTTATGATTATAATTAAGAAATAATAATTTCCATAATGAAATCTAAAATTAGTAAATATTCATTATTTTATTTATAATTATAATTATGCATTTATTTTACAAATATTTTGGTACCATCAGTATTAGTCAACTGATAATTTTTTTACTGTTTAAAGTGTTAGTTTTCCATATAAGTATCTAGGCTTGCATAAATTTTAATGTTATGCTTACCACCTGTATGTTGACTAAGTTCCTTTTCAACTTCATCAAACATATTATCAGTTACCATTAATATTTTCATGAATTCATCCTTGTTGAGTAACTTCTCATGTTTGGCCTCTTGATTAGCTGCCTTTTCCAGCAATATATCTTTTGATTCTGGATTTTCTTCAGCAACCTTTCTGAGATTTGCTGCACTGCTATTCTCAGCATCTAAAAAAATATAAACTCAAATTAAACTGTAATATTTCTTAATTAGTTGTCTCTACTAACTCAGTAATTGGTTACAAACCGGACCAATAAAAGGGATTTTTCTGCTTCCTGTAACTACCTCAGGATGTAATAATGACCCAACTGTTAATACATTACCATTTAAATTTTCTATCAGATTCCTAAAATAAATAATTTTTTGCCTAACCTGAGGCCCTTGATCCATAGGAATTAATCTTGGAGTATCTCCTAAAATAATATTTAAATTCAATATTAGCTTCTCTTTATGAACATATGAACTTAACTACAACTGAGATACAAGTGTCATTAAAAATATAAAGGTATTTTCTCAATAGATGAAAGGAAAACCCCATTATCTTGCTTTATTTTCTGAATTATAGTTCCAATAATGAAATATAGTTCCACTTTAAGTGTAAATGTGATTGATATACTGTATTATAAATGTGTTCTCTTCACAATTATTAACAAGCAAGACCTTAATTTGTTCAACACACTAGATAAGAGATTTTCCTTAACATGATAGAATAACAGAATTTTTTTATGGTTAATAAATTACCATTACTAAAATTATCTTCAAGGTAATCAATAATCCTGCCAGAATCTGGTATTATCTTGCTACTGTCCTGTAGAACTGGGACTTCGCCCCTTGAATTTATTTGCAAAAACCAATGTTCATACTGTTCACTTTTAGTTAAATCTATAAGACGAGATTCAAATAGTAAATTTTTTTCATGTAGAGCCATTACCACCTAAAATAAGTTCATATCTAACTTTTTTTAATAATACCGTGATAAACAAATAGACAATAATAATGCTATTTTTAGCATAGTGCGAATGACCCGCGTTCGAAGTGTAAGGTCATAAAAATAGTGGAATGAGATAGGTAACTAAAGTTTGTAAATAAATTAGGATTACACAATTCGGAACGTAAATACAGTAGTAATGACTTACTTTTTGGGAGTAAAATGAGTATTGATTGTGGTACAATAATAAGCCATGGTTAATGTTTGGCTTCACTGACTCCTCCACCATAGTTGGAACGATATTGCCGGTATTTTTTTGAACACTTTCACTGCTAAACGCACAATTCGCTTGATTCAGAACAAGAAGCCAAGAAAAATGCCGTTTACGGAACAAAAAGATCAAGGACAACGTTTGACTGATTTGTTGAACACTGGCGCGAAAAATGGGAACATGCCACATAATATTTTTCTCGTGATTTTTAAAATATTTGGTTTAGATAAATTGGGATGTTGCCTTAGGTTAAGGAAGATTTTAATCAATTTAATGCGCAGGTGGCGTTGAGTCTGGTTATGTAAAGGATTACATTTAGATTTTTTTTCGTTTACACAGTTTTTATGTGATGTGATGTTATAGTGTATTTACTTAATATTTTATTGCGATAATTATAGTAATTTTAACCAGTTTGAAGGACTTTGTAATTTGTAAGGAGCATACGAATACGATAGGAAAATCAATAAAAAGTTAGGGTCTATGCAACCAGGCAAACTTAAACTCGTATAAATTTAAATATCCGCAGAGTGGTAATTAAAAAAGTAATCACAAGTGTTCTTAAACTGAAATGTTTAATATTAAATAGTCGATTTATAAAAGAATATAATATAAAAACAACTTTTAGTATAATATCAAGTACAAAAGAACGACATGTATCGATGATCAAATAATGACTATCCATTCTTGCCAAACCGCAAATGTAAGTCATCGATTTTTAATTTGTTATTATAAGTCATTTCGGGCTTTCACAGACAAATACCGTACGATCAATAGCCCCCATACACCAAAAGATTTGGCCTGCGGACTTGGCTTGCGGATGAAACCTTTGCGTAGTGTGCCAGACCAAGTCTGTAGCAGGCCAAGCCTTTGGCGGACCAAGCCTGTCACAGGCCAAGTCCGCGGACTTAATCTGTGAGATTAGATTTGTCTAAAAAACGAAGGATAAAGCCGGCGGACTTATAACGCTCTTTCTTTCTACGCGGCAGTTTTTATTCCGATAAATATTTATCTATCTAAAAAGTGGTATAAAATGTCGAATTGTGTCCCAAACGAGAATATTTAATCGGGCAAATATCTAATCGGCAGGCCAAGTCCGCCCTGTCAATATACGAGAATCTTGGTATATAACAGGGCCGCAGGCCGGGTTCACAGGCCTGATTTTCTGGTGTATGGCGGCTAATAAATTCTAAATTCTAAAATATGATCAAGCAAACTTTAACTTTTTGTTAAAAATATAATGTAAATATTCCATAATTGTTTATCTGTCATCAAAGATATGACACGCTTTTGATCATATAAAACTTTTTTAAAATCAAATTCATCATAAAAAATATATTTGCATATTAATATTCTCTTATTACCAAAATTTGCAGAGTTGTTGTAGATAAACGATTAGGTTTTTAGAAATTGTGTTTTGAGTGTCAGAATACCTAGAGAGTGTCCCAATAAAAAATAACAAAGTTGTATTATTTTTAAATGAATCCCCTGTATGTTATAAAATTTTTCGTTTCTACGATTAGTGCAAGACATTCAAGGCAAGTTTAGTTAAAATTTGCCACATTTAAATCTTGTACTTGAAATACACAGGGTGGCGCCTCTCATACGCCGCGGTAGCTCCAAGGAGAACGGTAGTTTATATCGAAATTAAATTTTGGCAGCATATGTAGGTTAACTGAGAGCATTTTATAAAAATATATAAAATTATACAAGGTGTCTCAAAAAAAAGTTACACATCAAAGTTGTGTTTTTTTCTAATGGAACACCCTATATATTAATTTATTTTCGGATTCTAGGAAAAAAATAAAGGTGAGTTTTATTAAAGAAGCAATATACCTAAAGTCTATGGATTTTGACATATTTCACATTTTGTAAAAATTTCGATAACAGCTGCCTAAATTTTAGTTGACCTTGTGTAGCCTGATATTTAATTACAGTAACCATTGTATGTTAAACCAAATTGAAAATTGACCCAAAAAGTTATACAGGGTGAGATAAAATTAATATGGAATATTAGTCACTTACGAGTAATTTGCGAGTTACTCCTTTATTTTAAATGGAACACCCAGTATATTTCTGCGGTGTTCAATGGGGAATTTACATATCTTCAAAATATTATTAAGGTTGCCTACCCCTCAGACAAAGATTTTCCTAGATATTTGAATTTTTATGATTTTGCGTCAGTAGATCTTTATTATTTGAAAAAATCTAGGGTTAGGTTAGGCTGTGTGATATACCTTTTGTTAATTTAACAAAAATTAAAGATTGTAGAGTAAAATACTCAACGGTGATAAAAAGATACACGTTTAAAACATATTTTAATTATTACAGAATTAGAACTAGATGTAAACCTATAATTATGTGACAAAAATTATTAGCTAGATGAAATAGGGTTCCCAACTTGAGCATCGGCGATTCCGGGACAATCATTTTTAAGCTTTTAAATAATTGAAGTAAGACATTAAATATTAGAAAATAAAATATATTATGTGTGTAGTACACATTTTTTTAGTTTCCAGGTCCCGGCCAAGGCAAAACTTTCGCCGGGACAAACTTTCTGATTCCTTGTTAATCCCGGCCAAACCGGGACGGTTGGGAACCCTAAGATGAAATCAAATGGCTCAAAATGCTTCCTTTCCTGTTAACTGCATAAAATGATTAGTCTTTTCAAAAGAATCTTTTCATTTTAAAAGACATAATATGTGGAGTTCGAAAAGCAACTACATTACCCATACAGCACATCAAATCACATTTACGATGTGTTTACATTATTAAATGTAGACACAGGGTGACACAATTTCCCCGATGTAAATATGCAACGTTTACACATTGTAGTTCAACACGTATGCACAAAGGTTATACGTCCGCCTCACAATGTAGCCACAGTATAGCATTTACGTATACACAAAGTAAGCGATACACAGTGTGCCGTAGGATACACAGTGCTTGTGTATTACGTTTAAACTATGTTTGCACATTGCAGTTGTGACTACCGCGTGTATACGTATGTATTTTGCTTCGTATATACATCTTGTGCTAGATAAAACTACTTCTTATGAACGAATTTAGGAAATAATACAAGTTTTGATGCCTAACTTTTCGTTCTTTTTAAGAAATATTTATTCAATGTTACCAATTATATCTTTTTAGAACGAAAATTAGGAATGCAAAACTTTGTATTTTCCAAAAGTATCTCGATCGTAAGTTTAAGAGAAGTAGCCTTAAAATTGTTCCATTTTTGTTTTGTATTAAATGTACCATTTTTCTTCCATAAAATGGATTAAGTGGTTAAAAAATAAAATTCTTATATTTCTTTATATCATGGAACGCAATAGCGCAAATAACACAATAATAATTATTATTTACACTGCAGAAACCAGAAGTAAGAAAACACTGTAAAAGAACAGAATTTGTATTAAAAATATAAGTACATACCTAGTATAACAACATACTAAAATGGTAAACACTGGTATATCGCCACGATTTGGTGGACCTCGTTTAGTCATTTTTTTCTCCTCTTTTCCCTCCAAGCAATTTGTTTATTAGCATACTCATTCATCGAGCACTCTGTTGGATTTTGTTGTATTTTATTTCCAGATTAACAATCTCACCTTTAAATTTTATATGAAACTGATTATTGAATATTAAACATATCTGTATATCGATCCATCAATACCTTACCGAATATCAGTGTAAGAAGTTCTTTGAAGTGTTTAAATCTTTTTTTCTCTGGTCCATTTAGATTTTCATTATTTCCAAATAAAAAAAAATTATATTGCAGAGCTAACTCAGCTAACCTCTTTATCATTATACGAGAATATTTGGAGTTTTCATTCATTGGAGTCAAAGTTTGGTAAATTGGGTATCGAGTAAGGGATGAGTAGCTGATATAATATTAATAATACTCTTAGGAAGGTGTAACAAGGTAATTAAAAACAAGTACTTACCTTAAAATCTCTTTTAAACTACACACAAACAGAACATTTATATAGAGCTTCCGAATGATAAAACAATAATGGCTGTTAACACATACCACTCCTAGAAAGGAGAAAGGAGAGGGACACATTATGATACACTTGGTCGGTGTATCTACGCTGAGGCTATCCGCGCATGCGCACACCTTCATTTCATGCTAGAATGTAGACACAACAGTACACTATTACAAAGTGTCTATATAGATATTTATATTATGTGTATACTTCACATTTTTACAAGGTGTGTACTATAGGCACAACTATGATACGAAGTATCACACATACATATGACTTATACATTGTATGTCTCATATACCGACGTCAGATTTCATCATTTTAACAATTATTTGTTACGTTACAAAATACTCTTTAGAATCTTGAGTGCATACGGTATACAACTATAAACACTGTATCACACACTTCTATCAATATAAACCTGCGTGTATCTCATATGTATATGTTAGAACTAGATGAACACTTAGGTTCACTTTAACATATATGTTGTTTCTCATGTGTCTCCCTTGTAGAAACGTAATTTAATTTGGACGTGCTATATGGGTAATTTCTCTCATGTTGTTGACAATAGATAGTTGGTCGAGTTTTTTAAACACTATCTTTAACATATCCCCATAAAAAAAACAGACTAGATAAAATCAGGAGCATTTAAGTATTCTATTAATTGGAACTACTCGAATCATATCAATTCTCTCTGATATAAAATAAGTTTGCATTTTCGGCAAATTTCTGAGAATTTTTTTTGTTTTAACTGACACAAAATTATAACTGGTTGTTAAAGTTGGACTAATTAGACAGCTATGTTAAAGTAACGTCAGACGTATCACCCAGCCACCTAGATTTTATCTAATAATAAAGATCTACTCAGATCAAATCATGTAAATGGAAATATCTAGGAAAATCTTTGTTTGGCGGGTAGGCAACCTTAATAGTATTTTGAAGAGACATGAATTCTCTATTGAATATAGGAATAATATACTGGGTGTTCCATTTAAAATAAAAAAGTAACATGCTTTTAAAGGTGACCAATGTTCAATATTAATTTTGTCTCACCCTGTATAACTTTTTGGACTAAGTTTTAATTTGATTTAAATTGCAATAGTTAATTTAACTACATATTAGACTATACCGGGTAATTCCAATTTAGGTAGCTTTTATTGTAATTTATAAATTGTTCTTTATCTCTAGAAAAAATATATATGTGAAAAACCTTACATTTCATACAAGTCATATACTTCTCTTATAAAACTCACCTTTATTTTTCTCCTAGAATCCGAAAATCAATTATTATATAGGGTTTTCCATTAGAAAAAACACATCTTTGATATGTAACTTTTTTTGGGGTCACCCTGTAGAACTCTTTATATTTCTATAAAGTGCTCTGAATTGATCTACATATGCTCACAAAATTTCATTTCAATACAAACTGTCGTTCTCCTTGGAGCCTCCGCGGCGTATGAGAGCCACCCTGTATATTATATGTATTTTCATTTTAGTTAAAATGCAGTATATAGTAAAACACAAGATGTAGGTACACATTATTTTTTTTTATTTACTAAAGTCTGCAGAACGAGAGAATACTTGAGAGTGACAGTTGTGTTGGTCATTTTAATTCACAGATAAATTGTATTTTCTGTAATTTTTTGGATGTCATCTGTCGAAATGTTTTCTGGCTAGTTGGATAAACTATAGATATAAGGCTCCTTGATTACAAATTAGTGTTTTTAACAACACAGCCGTGGTAGGTAGGTACTCTAGATTGAAATTTAAAATACAATTTTGTTTTAAGCGAGAATGTCAAAAGTTGACATATGATATGTCATTCTATTCAGAGTGTCACTTTCTATCAAATAAAGTAAAAAATACGGAGGATGCCATTTAAAAATCAAAAGTTGTAATCATTTCGTGTGAAACAGGAAGTGACCGAAAACAATTGAATACGTCAATTAATCCTAATTTATGTCTGATCCTAACATACCAAATCTCGTTTTTTCATTTGAAAAAATAAAAAAGTTATAGGGGTGAGCCACTTTTGAGACACACCCGGTATATCGGTTAATAAATAGTTGGTGCGTTTTGAATTTCTGTAAATGGGCCAAGTCCCCGTTTCTATAAAAAATATAACTTTTTCATCACAATTAATTCGGTAATTCACCAAATGTACTTCTTCTAAAAAGTGGTAAAGAACAATATTGCCAGAACGTATTAACGTAGGTATTAAATATCACATAGAAATTCTATAATATTTGTTAATATTTTTTAATGTTTTTCAAAAATCCAAAATATATATTTGGATTTAGAAAAAATCATACTAGATTGTTGGAGCATCAGTGTTTACAAAAAATAACTACCTATTTATTTTGTAGATTTTCTTACAGTGGCGAAATACCCACAGGACTTTTTTGGAGAGATGAATCCGCCACAGTGTGGTATAAATATTTTTTAAAAAATTGTACTTTTTAAATCTACATAAATATTATAAAATTTATTATTTTACATAATATACACACTTCATATAAAGTGTAAACACAATGAACAGTGTATAGGGCTGTCATCTGTCGTGCCAAGAAAATCATACATTAAGGATGCAAGGTATACGATATATCTTATAACTTTTTTATATTTCTGATAAAAAAAACGAGATTTTATGTTAGTTCAATAATTATTTTCGTTGACTTCCTGTGTCAGCGGAAATGCATCTTTTGATTTTTAAGTGGTAGGTACCATCCGTATTTTTTTACTTTATTTGATAGCAAATGACATTTTGAACGGCTTATTTACCGGAAACTAGACTTATCATATTATATACATTTTGACATTTTTACTTAAAAAATAGTATTTTAAATTTCAGTCTAGAGTGCTATGGCCTTTGCTATGGCTGTGTTCAAAACGACAATCTGACTCGAAATATCAAGTATAGAGGGTGTTTCAAAAAACATGTGCCATCTCTCGTTGGAAGATTTCTCACGTAAAAATAAGATTAATTTTTCATATCAACATAGGTCCGATACTGCTTTGTTTCGTAGCTACAGGGTGTTAAAATTTAAATATTTTTCGATTTATTATAATTTTCTCTCTTGGAAAATCAAGACTCCTCGATAAAAATTAGTGTTTTTAACACAGCCATGGCATTCTAGATTTAAATTTAAAATACAATTCTGTTTTAAGCTAAAATGTCAAAAGTTGACATATGATCAGAGTATCATTTTCTATCGAATAAAGTAAAAAAATACCGAGGGGCCATTAAGTCAAAAGTTGTAGTCATTTCCGGTGAAACAGGAAGTGGCCGAAAAGAATTGAATACGTCTATCAATCCTACTTTATGTCATACCACCTAACATACCAAATCTCGTTTTTTTATTTGAAAAAATAAAAAAGTTATAGGGGTGACACTTTTGAGACGCACCCGGTATACAGTCTCCATTATTCATAAAAAAATATTGGAGTGACCCATCCAAATGCCATTTAAAAGTGGAGAGTTGTATCAGAGAAGTACCGTATGATGAACGGCGCCCAGTTGGCTGGGAAATGACGATCGATCCTCATATAATTTTACATTTAAAAAATGACGGCGATACTATCACCTAATTAAGTTCTAATAACTTAATACCTATTTTGAGATAATCTACCAAAACAAGTACTGATATATCCGGTATAATATTATTCTGTAATTCACAAAAATGTCTCTCGGCGGTACTTATCTTCTCGGGCGTCCCGTATCCGAAATAAATTCGCAATGACTTTGAATCTACAATTCGTTGTAAATGAGTCAGATTTCCAGATATCTCTCAGCCGTAAATGACTAGCGACACTATATAACACGCTTTTTGCCGGTACATGTTGTTCATTTCCCATTCATACTTCATCAAGCTTTGATCAAATCACAGAACTGTGACAATGTTTTCTTCGATCAACGTGTTTTGCGTGTTGGTCGCTATATCGGTGTGCGCTTCATTGCCGAGAATGCACTTTAGAGACTATGATTCGGTAGTGATAGAAGCCGATTTATTTGTTTGTAGTGTTCCACAACCAAGAGCCGTCTCAGTAAGCAGCTTAACAGGAGAAACCACTGATATTGTAAGTACTCAGCACTTTATCTAGAAGTGTGATTAAATAAAACTAGTATAACACTAAAACACTTTAATAGTTAATAATGTCTATAACTTATGGCGGGTTCAATTTTTGAACAAAAAAAACTGGGCGCAATCACTGAAATAGGAATCTAAAAAATAAAAAAGTTATTTTATGTGAAGTACCCTTGGTGCATGGAATTCACTTAACGTTTCAGGGGGTATAGCTCCCCGTTGTCAGAATTTTTTTATTATAACTTTTTATTCAGTTAGGCAGAAATGTTTTTATGTTTCTTTTTTATTTAGTGGCACTTTATAAAAAAATGACTTATCTTTCAAAATTCAATGCTACAGGCTTAACTATAGTTTTTCAAACACAGGCTATAACTATAGTTTTTCAAACTTTATATGTACTTTATAACTTCAGTATTTTCTTTTACAAAATCTGCAGCCGTTCTAGAACAAATCTTTTAAACCCTTTTTGTTAATACATGGTGATTGAAACCTATTTTATTACAAAAGTTGAATTTTTTATACATACCTATGTACCGACTGGCTAACTAAGAATGGACGCCGGCTGTATCAGAAACTACTTATCGTATAACTTTGGAAAAAAAAAATTCTAATAGGTATATCGACCAAGAGAAGTCGCTGGAAATTATTTTCAAGTTCGAAAAATGTCCGCTAGGGGGCGTTTCTCTGATAGCCAATCAGAAAACATGGTTTTTCTTAAAAATATGCAGGTGAAACAGGTATTTTAAATATTACTATTGTAAGTATCGAGAAATTTGTAATTTTTTTAATATAGAGTGTTTTGCTCTATCTCTTAAAATAAAGTGGTGGGGGAAGGTTAAACATGCTTTTATTAAAATAGGAATAACTCTGGTTTGGATTACCCGATTTAAACAAGCTAGGGCTCGTTTAAAAGAGCTTTTCGTCCTTAATGATCTCGGGTATAAATTTTGTGTCCATATTTTTTTTCGTGGTAGCTAGAGGGCGCTGTTTAACATCATAACAGATATTGCGCTTTTGCATAAAAAAATTAAATAGGAGGCCATGTTTCTCTTTTCACAGTTAAATAGAGCACAAAATTTCCAAAATTTTAGCGCAAACCGCAACTTTATATCTTCTCTCTAACCGGAGATATTAAGTGAAAAAATCATGTTAGACTGCCGCTTAGGATTATATGGTCTAAAATTTATAGTAGTAGGCTAGGAAACAAAAAGAGGTAAATTGGTTACGACAAAATATCAAAACATATATTTTAATTTCAATTTAATACCATTTAATTGTTATTTATCCATGTTCGTTCTTGATTCGACCCCATAAATTAAAACCCAGGCATATTGAATTTGATGACCTAGCTGGCCACCAAGTAAGTGGTATACAAGAAGCCCCACACATTCATAGTAAAATAAGCGGCACAACTGCACCAACTGCATCAACTACACCAACCGCATTCATGTTGATGAAATTGCAACAAACGCAATTTCATCCCCTAACAAACAATTCATTTCTTAGAAATTATGGATAGTTCATTTCACTCAGATAATTAAAGAAGTCCAATCATTCGCCATGCTAGAATTCCTGCCAAACATTTACCGACCAACGGTCTGGGTGCTGAACTACTTGCATCAAGGGTAGATTTGGAACAGTAGTGCATATTGTTAAGATTCGCACTTTTAGTGGTATATGAAAAGTGACCCAAACGACATAAACTTTATAATATAATAATAAAAAACACAAACAACAGGTAAAACACGAAAACAAGTGAAATGAAGGACGGAAATATCGGATTAATAACTAAATGACATTACATAAAATATACCCCTAGTTTTCGACCATACGAAATTCGGCCGTTTTCTGTTAAAAGCAATATGGCGGCACAAAATTCCTAGAACTTTTAATAAAATTATTGATTGTCCGACCTTCAGACATTTTAATCTGAGTACTACCTACGTATAATTAACCAAGAAATTTGTAAAAATTATATGGATGGATAATAATGTTACATAAACACGTTTAAATATTTATGACGAAATTCTTAAGTCTTTTTTTGACTTAAATCATTTTAATGACTTAAATCATTTCATTTTAAGTCATATTTCGAAAGCTGACTCTAGACCTAAGGTTTAAGTCATTTTCAAAATGACTTCTGACTTAAGTCTTTATTCCGAAATAAAAAAAGATTTAAGTCATTAGAAAAATATTTAAGTTTTTTGGAAAAGATTTAAGTCTTTAAAAAAATTTAAATCTCTTTTCAATGACTTAAGTCTTTTACAAAAGACTTAAATCTTTTAGAAGATTTAACTCTTTTATGAGATTTAAGTATTTTTAGAAAAGATTTAAGTCAATAAAAATGAAATCTTCTTTTAATGACTTAAGTCATTTTACAAAAAAAACTTAAATCTTTTAAAAGATAGAGATTAAATCTTTTATGAGATTTAAGTTTTTACAAAAATGACTTGACATGAAAGAAAATGACTTAAGTCAAAGACTTAAAACTTAAGTTATTTGAACTTTATATTGAAATTGACTTAAGACTTAAATCATTTTGATTTTAGAATTGACTTAAGACTCAAGACTTAAGTCTTTTTAAAACTGACTTGTTGCAGCTCTGCCTATGTATACTTATTTTGCTCATTGTGTTTGGCAAAAATTCCTGTTCTAAAATAATCCTTTCAAATTTAATTCTATAACAAAATTCCATATATTATTAAGTACTTATATGTTTATTTTTGAACAATATTATATATATTATATATAATATAATTTATTTAGAGGTCATTGATATTTTACTATAAACTAGTTAAATATTTTTGAATATTATTTTTATTTTTTTGTTCTTTGACATTGTAAACATTTATAAATGTTTATTTTAACAATAAGACTGACAATATTATTTGTATAATGTTTTGTATTATCTTTTGTTTGTTTGTTTGTGTACAATATTTTTTTTACTTTGTTTGTTAGTTTACCTTTGTCTACAAATTGAAAAATTTTTTGACAATAAAGGCATTTATTTATTTATTTATAATAATTCACGCAATTTGTTATTTCACACTCTTAAATAAACTAATTCAAAAAGCAACATAAGTATCTAAACAAAAATAATTTACGTTATTATTTTTTTTCGAATTATTATAATTTTCTTCCAAATGATGCGATTGAAACTTTGAGGGCAAAAGTTACTATATGTGCAACATATTTTAATGCTAAAAAAGTGTGAAAAGTGACATATTCACCAGGGATGCGCCATTGACTTTCTTTTTTCTTGTTAAATTGTGTAGGTCGTTTAATGCAGATTAAAAGTTGTATCTTGATATTTTGTCTTGATATTTTGCAGATAAACGCAAATTTATTAATCACAATTATTAATAACTAAAAATAATAAATTATTTATTTATTCTAATTTATTATTACACAATTTATAACACAATGCTTCATTTAATAAAAAAAATAATGATATTTAAGATAATTACAAAAGATCTTAATTTTTAAAACTATATGCATTTTCGTGTCCCTGTTTATAGGAACTTTTTTTCATATTTTTTGATGAGGAATAACTAGGTGAGTTAATGACATTAATTTTTTTTTAAAGTTGCTCTTAGACTTGGATTAAGACAGATAAAATTAATAAAATTGCGTTTACATTTAATCGGTATTAAACGGTATACACAATTTTGCTAACAAGAGAAAAGAAATTCACTGGCGCTGATGAACATGGCGACACTTTTTCAGCATTAAAATATGTTGCACTTATAGTAACTTTTGCCATCAAAATTTCGCCCCCAATCGAATCGCTAAAAGTATTTGGAAGAAAATTATAAAAATAAATCGAAAAGAAAATGAAGACTTTAGCGCCCTGTAGCCACCAACCGACGCAAAATCGGAACTACGTTGATCATTACCGTAACTAGCAATTCATCCTTGGGGGGGGGGGGGGTTCGCCCAGGGGGAGCCTAGTGCTTCTGTTTTTTTAAAATGAAGAATAATTTAAAAAAAACACACATTTTTTGAATAAAACGTTTACATGAATTTCTCTATCAATAAATTTTATATACTTGGTTATCAAACCGTGTTCCCGTAGATTACTTATATACCTACAAATTTTCTAAAAAAATAAAAATTAACACATTTTTAAACACAAAATAATATTAACTAAATAAAACTAGAAGACGTCATTTTTACTACATCACAAGCAAATAAAATTTTCTAAAAAAATTAAAAATTAATACGTACCCAAGAGTCATAATTCAATATTTCTCTGGGGGGTGCCCAGCAGCAGCTGGGGGGGGGGCACACCCGGGCACCACTGTAGTTACGCCAATGACGTTGATATGGAAAATAAATCCCATCTTTACGTGAACCACGAAAAAATTTTTGAAACACGCTGTATACATCTACAAATCCAATAGCACTACATTCATTTATACTTAATTGGATTAAAAAACCTCTTTTATTCTTCGTAGAAATCAGCCTTTTTGCAGAAATGAACCTGCCACAAAGGTATAGACATTAAATTAAAAATCTAATTTTGACTTACCTTGTATATCCCCATGCGATATCACTAATTGCTAACTGTAATATAGCACGTATAGTAATCCATTTAAAAAAAAATAGTTTTAATAATAAATATGAATTATATAAAAATCATTTTATTCATATACAGGGTAGTTCAAATTGAGTTTTTTAATGGAAGGTATATAATTTTTGGCTCAGTACATTTGATACCTGATTCCCTCTCTCTTTTTCTATTAACAACTGACCCTGGTGCTCAATAAAGGACCATAATACGTAGTGATTGTAATAAATTGTACTTGTAAAATTGTGCTTGTACTTGTAATAAATTGTACTTGTACTTGTAAACTTATAAAATTGTAATATTGTTCTTATCTTTTCAGTACGATCCCCCATACGTAGTCCTACATCGATGTGGTCAATCTGGCTGCTGTCCTAGCGAAGAACAGAGTTGTCGACCAGACAAAACAGTCACCGTAGAATTGGAAGTCAAAACATGGATGGATGAGCCATTAATAATAAGAGCAAAAAATCACACGTCCTGTGCTTGTCTGGACACTGCTGGACCCATTAAATAAATAGATTGTGTAATTTATTATCGAAAGCATCCGTTTAAAGTGCAAATGGTTCCTAGAATAGCAACTGATATTATGACGTACGGATATTCTTTATACATGGTGTTGGTTGGTACAAAAAGTTCGCTGGGATAGGGAAAGTTTCCTATTTTTTACTGTTGGAGTGAAGTAATTCCGCATAAAACTTGATTCAATTACTCAGTTATATTTTTTACGTTTGTTGCGAACTTTATGCTGCACCCTGTATATCACCTTGACTTATAGAAAAATAGTATTATGATTTTTTGTTTTTTTATCGTTATATTTGCTAGATTTTAGTATATTATTTATTTTTTATTTATATAAAAATGTTACTTTAATTACTGAGTTACTGATCTCCAAGTCATCTTAGGTTTTATATTATAAAAATAAAAAAAAAATATCCAGGTGCATTATTAGAACTCTTTATCAGCTTTGCCATAATTTAATGAAATAATACGTAGTTATAGTTAATAATAAACATATAAAATTAATTATTTTCAAAATGTATCGATATTTTCAGATATCAAAAATTTTCAAAAAGATTTGTTGTGTTAAAACTTCAAGAACATTACGCAAATTAACGATGGTTTTTGACTAGTTTGCGAACTAAATTCATGGTATTTAGATAAAGTTTGAACTTAATATTCTATATAATATCATAATAACCTAATAACCATCTCTTTGGTTAATAGAACTAACCAATTACAATTAGATAATTTCTAACGTGTATGACAAATGTTGTGCGTTGTATTGTGAACTGTTTATACCTTCTGAAATCTCTTGAAATATGCTTGAATCTGGTTATTACAAAGTGATTAATGATGATTCAAATAAATAAATGAAAAATCTATTTTTGCAAGTTTACAAATTACTGGTAGAATTCAGAATTAATTAAAGATTGTAATTATTACAGTTACAGTTTATATATGAACATTTTAATTGTAAATATACATCCTTTAACATATCATACTGTTATAAAACTAATAGTTATCTATACAATACCCTTAAATTATAGTATATGTATTTTGTGATACATCTTTCTATATGAACTTGTGTCTTACCTTGTGTGATTACACATGGTAAGACACGACTTAAGTAGTAAGTTGGGTAGTAAAGTAAGACTTACTTAGTTTCTATATAAACTTGTTACTTACTTGTGTGATTAGATATTAATAATTTTATGTATTATGTAAATATACCAAAGACAATCTTGAAGATTTTCTAAGATTGAAATGTGACTATTTTTATTAAATATTAAATTATTGTGTTTGTGGAAGTTTTAAACTAGCAATAATGTGTGTGGCATATAGATGTTAGTAATTGTTGTTTGTTTCTATTTATTTCTAGTATTAGGTAATTTATTCTGTTTTGTATTTTGTAATATATTTTTAAAATTAAATCAGAAGAAATATTTTTTTATTATCTGAAACCCAAATAAATGTTCTTGATTGATATACAATAAGATGCCAAAAAGTCAAATTTGGAGTGTTATATTTTTGTTATTTTTAGCTCTATTTCCATATTTTTTTTAGGAAGCTGTATATAATTATATGAACTTTCATTCGTAAACTCAGTGTTTTATAAACTTTAGTATTTGGCATATTATACAGGGTTAAACGAGGGGTTGTTTTTTTACCTTAACTTTAACACACCCTGTGCAATAATTTCGTTTGTAAATTTTTCTAAAATATAATTTTACGGTTAGAACCATGTCTCCTGAGCATTTCGTTTATTGGATCATGTCAATACATGCCTTGATTAAATTTTAAGAGCGAAATGAACTTGCCATCAACAATTTGTAATTTTTTCAATTATCGTTTCTTTTGAAGTTATTTTTCAATATGACGAGGAGGCTTTGGTGATTATTGTGAACTATGTGAACTATATACTACTATGTGAACTATATACTACTATGAACTGCCCATCATGTTCAGCATTTGGGAAAGGCTGGGTGGGAGGTTTAGAGGTCGCGAAGCGGTACCAGCTTCATTAAATGAACTTCGTTTGGTTCTTAAAGAAGAATGGGAAAGCATAACGCAGTAATGATATCTGCAGCATCAATGACAGTATGAACGGACGTATACAGGCAGTTGTAGCAGCCAAGGGAGGAGGGAGGTAATACAAAGTATTAGGGTATTTTTTACAATTTTTTTCTGTTTGTATACTTGAGTATTACAGATGTTTTCTTTAATATCGTTAGTTCGGTTATCGTTATGAATGTTTATTAAAACCAGGACTGTATCGTTAGTCTTTTTTTAAATTTAGTATAGAGTATCCAATGCAGCGGAATATAGCGTTACGACAATGGTCACCAAAACCATCTCGTCATATCAAAAAATTACATCAAAAAGTAATGATAATGTAAAAAATTGCAAATTGTTGGTAGCAAGTTCCTTTCACTCTTAAAAATTAACCAAGGCATGTATTGACATGATCCAAAAAACGAAATGCTCAGGAGACATGGTTCTTACCGTAAAATTATATTTTAGGAAAATTTACACACGAAATTATTGCACAGGGTGTTTTAAAGTTGAGATAAAAAAACAACTCCTCGATTAACCCTGTATAATATGCCAAATACTAAAATTTATAAAAAACTTAGTTTACGAATCAAAGTTGATATTATTATATATAGTTTGCTAAAAAAATCATGAAAATAGGGCTAAAAATAACAAAAATATAACACTTTAAATTTGACCAAAATTTTCTCCGTTGCGTTTTTTTTGCATCTGGGTGTATTTTCTGCATTAGAAATGAAACATCTACAACTATGTGATTATAATGTTGTAAAAGAGAACATAAATCACAGATTACTTCACTCCATATAATGTGTCTTTTTTTACTTTGTTATTTTTATGGAAGTTTTGGACCGAAATGGATCCGAAAAAAGTCCATTTGTGTCAAAAATTAATAAAAAAAACATGCAAAAACGAATAAAAAATCTGATATATATTATAAACGCGCAAGTTTATTTGTATGTATGGATGTATGGGTGTGTAGTTGTAAAAACGTTACAACAATTACAAGAAATGCTGAACACCTATACCTGGGCATACGAGGCTTCGGGCACTAAGCTGAACATACATATATGCAAACTAAAATCATGTGTACTCCCCTAAAACATAACAATGTTGTAAAAATCGGAGAAGAACTATTGGAATATGTAGCGGAATTCAATTACCTCGGCAGTTTGATTTCGGAAAAGACCAATATCGACTCTGACTCTGAAATTCAGCACAGAATTAGCAGCGCGTCAAGAGCATTCTGGAAATTAAAACTCAGGGTTTTCTACAATTATGACTTGAGCACAAAAACAAAACTTGCAGTGACCAAGCAATAATAATGCCCACCATGTTATATGGAAGCGAAACCTTGGTGCCCTACCGCCGGCACATGAACGCATTAAACAAGTTGCATTAGAGATACCTTAGACAACTGTTAAGAATCAAATGGTATTACCATGTCTCAAACGTATTGGTCCTTGAAAAATCTAGCTGCGAGAGCGCTGAAATCATGATTACTAAATCCCGCTTAAAATGGGCTGGTCACGTATGCATGATGCAAGAAAACCGCCTACCGAAATATCTTCTTTACGGTGAGCTTGTAGACGGTAAAAGTAAACCGGCTGGACAACTCAAGAGATACGAGGATATTTTCCATGAAAAGTATAGGATAAGCATGCAATATCAGTGGGAGGAAGCAGCGCACAATAGCACGCAATGGAGAAGGATTGAAAATATAGAACGACAATGACAACAACTCAACAACGACAACCAAAAAGTAAAGAGACAACAAAGTAATGAGATTTTTGAATGTCCGGAGTGCGGAAGAGAGATAACATCACGTATCGAGCTTTTCAGTCACAGAAAAGCTCACGAAAGAAAACGCCTTGCTTAACCATCTTCTGATGCGTGTCAAATACTCGTCAGCGAGTAATAACAATGAATGAATGAATGAATGGTTAATTGTTACTCGTTCACGCAAAAACTACAGAATGGATTTTAATAAAACTTTACAGTAATATAGCTTACTTATCAGAATAATACATAGGCTATAATTTATAAAGATATTGTGTGAATTGTCCAAAATATAATGATAAGTGTCAAGTAAGTAGGAAAAAATGCTGCCATTTGCTAACTATTCTGGCGTGCTATAGGAATCGGTTTAGTAGAAGTACATACCTATATGATAAATTAAGATTGAAAAGTATTAATACGATACTGAGTGTGCTTTATTATTCATTCGCAGGCATACAATGATTTATAAAACTGATTCTACTAGATTAGTTAGATACGTAATATGCAAAATGGTACATACAATTTCAATAGAAAAAATACAGAATACATGTAAGTATCTACGTCGATGGTATTTCTTTTTCCATTTTTGTCAAAATGATATTCCTATCTGTTTCGGATTCCGAACCACCGAATTCACCCTTTCTTAACCTCGCTCTCATATCCAAACAGCGAATGTCAGTCATCAAAGACTGATTCTTATTGTTCAGATCACGATCGATCGCCACTTGACGGTCTTCTAGAGCGTTGTAGGTGGCTTTGGCACAGTTTATCTTGTCCTGGAGGTCTTTGCGCGTCTGTCTCAGTTGCAGTACTTCATTTTTGAGTCCTTGTTCGGGCTCGTCCCTTGCCAGTTCAAAACCGGGTCGATACGATCTGTAAAAATGCATAATTCAGTAATTTTATAATAGATACTAATATATACATTTTAAAAGCAGGCAGTAGTATCGACTGACTAGTAAGAAAGAGTGGGGTTGCAGTCGGAAGGGTTTAAAATAGAATTAATACACTTTGTTAATTGTCAAGCTTTCGGAATTTATTCATTCCTTTCTCAGGACATCTACGTGGTACAAGAGACCTTCATAAAAAAATACATTAACAAAAAATTGGCTTGTGGGATGCATTGAAAACTCCACCATGAAGCATCGCTGACCAGTCAACCACAAATAAGAGGACTCTCTTGGGGCGGTTAAGCCGCCTGATTTTTATTTAAAACATTGAAATAATTGAGAGATGTTCGATTAAAAATTCAATTGCGTCTCAATCTAAGGCGTGAAGGCGCAAAGCAACCGACAAAAAAACAAGAGAGCCCTCTTATTTGTAATTGACTGGTCAGCGATGCTTCACGGTGGAGTTTTCAATGCATCCCACAAGCCAATTTTTTGTTAATGTAGTTTTTTATGAAGGTCTCTTGTACCACGTTGATGTCCTGAGGAAGGAATGAATAAATTCCGAAAGCTTGACAATTAGCAAAGTGTATTAATTCTATTTTAAACCCTTCCGACTGCAACCCCACTAGTTCCTAGATTTTCTAAATTTTAAAATATACATATGTACTTGAGAATTATATTTTTGCAATTGTTGGAATATGTAGTAATATGTCACCAGCGCCAAGATGGATAACTTGATAAAATAAATTTGATACAGTTATAGAAGTATTGCATAGACATGTATATTTTGTTTTTGAGAACCTAGATAAACTAAAAGTTAATATAAAATACCTATTTTCTAATCGAGTTTCAGCCAATTTAAGAGCATCACACTTCGCCAGCAGAGCATCTTCTAAGGTTCTGATTTCCTTCTCTACCTGAAAATATACCTCGTATTAAAGAAAATACTTCAAACTTCAGAAAGTATACTAGAAGAGAATCTACAATCGTTATACTATTTGTTATCGTACACCTCATCTTGGTTGCACTACCTAAAATACTTTATAATAATATTTATTATCGAACCTATAACCTCTTTAGTGATCGGTTAAAAATCGCAACAAATGACATTAACAAAAATGACAATAATTCGAAATATATTTTTTTTTCAAAATCTTACAAAAATCTACTTGTTGCAACAGATTGAAACTTATAGTACATGTTTTAATTATTATATTATATATATAATGATAATAGGACATTTAAAATCAGAACAAATCTTCATACTTATAAGCCTTCAAATAAAATAATTAAACGATACCTTTTTCATCTCTTCACGCATCTTTAACTGCTGCCATTCAATCTCGTTCCTGGCCTTCTGCGTCTGGTAGATGCGTTTGCGCAGTACAAAATCGACTCTATCGCGCTGCGCAAGCATATCATTTTTGGAGCGTTCGCGAACAACGAACAATGTTTCGCGCAGACGCAGCGTGTCCGCTAGTTCGTTGTCGGCTAATTGTTTTACGCTGCGAGTGTGCTCCAGCCATGCCTCGTTAGGAATCGAACTGAAATAGTGAAATTTAAGTACCAGAGTATTACTGTAAAAATATTTATTTTATGTAAAGCCACAGAGTATTTTTTACTATGGATGATACTAAAAGAATTGGGAACTTCCATTGTCTATATTTTTAATTAACTTACACAACGTTTCGGTCAGATGCTTGTAAAAGTGTAAACTAATCTAAATCCTTAAACTTTTGAGCTTATATTCTAGAGGAATCCCACCCACTCGTGATAAAATTGGGTGCTGATAAGCGCGAGGTTATCCGCTTAGGATGCCATCGTTGGTCCATTTAATATGGTCTCTCTCAATTTTACGACTGAGAAAGAGAAAAACATCTGTCTTTTTTCTAGATAGCCTTGTCAGTAGGAATTGGGGATTTATTGGTACTTTTTTATATAGAAAATTGACATACACGGGACAGTATTTAAGTTTTCGGTCAAAACATTCTGAAGCAAAAAAAAAAAAGAAACTCTAGCTAATGGAGAAATCGGTCGAATACAATAGACCGTTAGTTTTAGTGTTTGTCGATTACGAAAAGGCATTGATACCATCAGTCAACAAAAAATATTAAAATCCCTAGTTGGCTCTCGTATAGATTATCGGTACGTCACAGTGATTAAATATACAGGGTGGCCCTTCGAAAACGTTCCGCAAGGCATAACGGCCAGGGTATTTTTTTTTCAAAAAATCCAAAAACACGTCAATTTTGTTTGTGAGGGGGACAACTTTTGCCCCAAAAATGATTGCAAAATCTTCAACCCTCTAAGCGGGGCTGTCATCCCCCCACTTTTTTCAAATGGGAAGGGGGGTCAAGTGGCGCAGCAATGAAAAGAGCTTTCTATTCTCTATATTTCCCCGCTTCGTTTTTGAAAATCGGTCGAGTCATTGAGAAAATTTGAAGGATTGAAATTTGAAAAGTTTATTTAAACATTTATCACAGTAAATGATAAGGATAAATTCCTTCGACCAATTTGCTGTTTTTTCTTATTATTTCTAGATGTTTACGCCTTTTTTCACTTGCCACAAGGTTGAACGATCAGGTGCGGTAGTTGCTAGATAGCTGTTCTGTGACTTGTGCGTTGAAGTTCTTCTCAAAATCGTTAGACTGACCTACATAGAATTTCCAAACATACCAGCCCACACGTTGAATTTCTGAGGGTTTTGTGTGTGCACCTCGTGGAAAACCCTGGGGTTGTCCTCAGCCCAGTACCGACAGTTGTGCCGATTAACTACACCGTTCAAAAAGAAAGTACTCTCATCCGAAAAACACACATTAAATAGGAAATTATTATCATTCGCCACTCGTTCACTCATAGTTTCACAAAATTGCAAGCGACGATCAAAATCGTTTTCGTTGAGTTCTTGTACCAACTGAATTTTGTACGGGTGGAACTTGTGTTTTTTTAATATCCTTCGGACACTTGTACGATTCCCGCCGGTTTCATTGACTAATTTTCTTGTACTCAGTGTACTATCCATGGCAAGTTGGCCCAATACGAATACCTCCATAGCTTCATTTACTACAGGATTTTCACTCTGCCTCTTATTATTCATAACGGAACCAGTTTCGCGAAATTTTGCTACTAACTAGCGAACAATTTTGCCATAAAGGTGTTTGTCAGGATGGCATTCATTGAATATCTGCGCAACCCGATACATCCATTATTTTTAAAATAAAGTTCGATTATTTCCACTTTTTATGCAAGTGAGTACACCATAATTGTTAAAAAGTTTAACGATATTGAGAGGAACTTCAACGCACAAGTCACAGAACAGCTATCTAGCAACTACCGCACCTGATTGTTTAACCTTGTGGCAAGTGAAAAAATGCGTAAACATCTAGGAATGATAAGAAGAAACAGCAAATTGGTCGACGGAATTTATTCTCATCATTTACTCTGATAAATGTTTGGTTTGGTTAGGTTAGGTTATCAAATTTGAATCCTACATATTTTCTCAATGACTCGACCGATTTTCAAAAACGAAACGGGAAAGTATAGAGAATAGAAAGCTCTTTTCATTGCGGTACCACTTGATCCCCCTTCCCATTTGAAAAAAATTGGGGGATGACACCCCCGCTTAGAAGGTTGAAGATTTTGCAATCATTTTTGAGGCAAAAGTTGTCCCCCTCACAAACAAAATTGACGTGTTTTTGAATTTTCTGAAAAAAAAATTACCCTAGCCGTTATGCCTTGCGGAATGTTTTTGATGGGCCACCCTGTATATATGAGAACGCTACTGCTTGTGTTAGGCTTCATGAAGATATTAACAACTTCCATGTAGAAAAAGATGTTCGCTAAGGTGACACCATCTTTCCAAAATTATTTAATATTTTGCTCTAATACATGTGTAAACAGATAGAATGGAATGAATTGGGTATAAATATAAATGGCGAAAACTTGAACCACCTGCGATTTGCTGATGACATTGTCTTGATATCCGATTGCGTAAATAAAGAACAAGAAATGTTACAAAAATTGAATGTAACCTCTAAACAAATGGGACTAAAAATCAATATCTCAAAAACCCAAGTGATGACAAACTTGGAATTATATTAACCAATATTAAATAGAATAGGCGGCGGAATATCTATTAACCAATATTAAATAGAAGAAACAACTGCTTACAAGTACTTGGGACATGAAATACGTATAAGCCGCGATAACCAAACTTGCGAGCTTAACAGACGAATAGGACTGACTTGGGCCGCCTATGGACGATTGAAATACATTTTCAAAGCGCCTTTCTAAATATTGGAAAGTGAAAATGACGTTTAAATTTGACACTGTTGACAAGTCTACTGCTACTAGCGCCCCCAATATCGCTTGTAGGAACTACGGACTAGATTGTCACGCATGGCGGGAAGTTTAAAAAAATAAAAAAATTTAATTCTTCATTTATTTTTAATTATGACATAGGTAAAAACACAAAAAATACAGCATTTTTTAAAAATATGTTTAATATCAATATCAAATATACAACAGAAATTAATTTCACCACAATAAATTAATAAAATTAAAAGAATAATGTTACAAGTAGATCAAGAGACAAAATTAATAATAACAAAACTGAAAAAAATGGCGTCATAGAGAAATGAAGATATATATATATATATATATATATATATATATATATATATATATATATATATATATATATATATTATATATATATATATATATATATCATAATTTTGAAAGTAAAATTATATAGGAAATGTCATCGATCATCATTTTTAAGCCAACTGGACGATTATTTCAAACATACAAGCTGAGTTCGTTCATAGTGCTCTGAGAAATCTAGATAAACAAAGAATAATAAATTAATATTATAAATAGTATTCCAGGGGAAAAGAGAGGAAAAACCTGTATCGTCTCTGATATCTGTCAGGGTATTGTTGAAAGTGTCATCTTTTTGCTCGAAGTTTTCAGGTCAATTAAAAAGATGACATTTACAACAATATTTTGCCGTAACTTTCACAAATATCAAAGAGAGAGTACAGGTATTGCCTCTCTTTTCCTCTGGGATGCTTTATATCTGTTGTCCTTTGTTTATCTATATTTCTCAGAGCATAATGCCGAACACGACTACAGTATATAATAATTTCAATATCCTAAGTGGAAAGAAACAAGATCACCTTTCTGTTTTGTACTATGGTCCCTTTCTTCCGATGGCTCATCTCGTTGATATTTAGGAAGGTATCCATAAAATATATATTTTATTATCGGTCCTGGGATGAAAAAATATAAAATTCAATTTGATTTGATGATCCTTTTCTGTCACCTAAATCAGGAGAATGACAATGAGCATGTTAAGATGAAAAAAAACTTATTTATCAACACTTACCTATACGTTAGACCAAGGAGTTTTATCAAAAACCTATATTTGCCTATATAATTTATGTATTAAATTTACAAAGCAAACTGCAGCGTGTAAACAAAAGAAAGAAAATGGCGACAAGTCAACGTCAACGACTCGACAATGCCCGACAAGGAGAAAAGTGGTGTTCGAATAACAAATTATAGGTCACCAAAAATTGTTTTTGTCTCCTTTCAACGCACACTTTAGAAAGAAAAAGAGATGAACTGTTATACTGAAAGAATGTCAAGGTTTTATCTGTCACTCTTGTCAATAATTTATCGGTAAGGAAGATTCCTAGAAAATCGCTTGTAGTCAAGTTTTCAACCATTGCCAGTTCTCTCATAAGAAGTGTCATCCACCTGGGTGCACTGCCGAAAGGTTTGAAGAGAAAGGTATTCAATCAATGCGTACTACCTGTTCTGACGTATGGTGCGGAGACGCTAATATTAACGAAGAAAACTGTAAGCAAAATCAGAACAACGCAAAGAGCAATGGAAAGATCAATGTTGGGGCTATCTCTGAGAGAAAAAGTACCGAATATCGAAGTACGGGAGACAGACCAAAAGTCTTGGATGCCATAGAGAAAATAACGACTTTGAAATGGAGTTGGGCAGGGCACATTGCAAGGCTAAACGATGACCGATGGACGAAGAAAATTATAAAATGGAGACCAAGACACGATTCATTCAGGAGCAGAGGCCGTCCTCCAACTACATGGCATGACGACTGAAGGCGTATCCACAGTAACTGGATGCAAATGGCTCAGGATAGGGAGTTATGGAAGCTAACGAGGGAGACCTACGTTCAGCAGTGGACTTTAGTGGCTGGTTGATGACGATGATGATGATTCTGAAGCAACTAAGAAAGGAATAGTTAAAACTTTATATCATCATCATATTCAACCATTTCCAATTCACATCATGGTTCCATCTCAGGCTCGGTCTTCTAGGTTTTTTAAAACTTTATATCATTGAGCATCATATGCAGTGACCAAGCATCAGTTAATGCTGAACTGAATAATATTAAAATAGAGAGAGAATTGCTACAGAACGATTACTTGGAGAAGTCCATACAAAAAATATATGGAATTGTGAAACTCATTGATCAAACCGCCTACCCAGAAGATACCCTCTCTCTCTCTCTTGACTATTCTATATGTAAAAGAAATATCTATATCTATATATATATATATATATATATATATATATATATATATATATATATATATATATATATATAGCAAAACAATATACAAGTACAGAAAGAGTGTATTTACCAGGTACGTTATAAATGCGTTGATTCATATATTGAAGAGACCAAACGTCGCGTTGTCTAAATATACGACTTAATGTCAGGTATATTGAAGCTCGGATTGTCCACAAGGAACATCACTGAAAAAAAAACCGTAAACTTAAAGAAGCAGTTTTTATATCAAGCATCAGTAACATATCTGGCAACCTTCATTCATTCACTTCAAGCTTCTAGGAAGTTTATGATTTTAAAGTTTTCCCTCTCAACTATATATGTTGCAAACCCGGTCTTACCCCACAAACGTTGTTTCCAGATAATAAGCAAAAACTATTTTAGCAAATGTTTGAAGCGTTAATTTATAAAAAAACAAATCATTCTTTTATATCTCGGTTTTCTAGAAAGAAAAATTAATATTTAATTTTTAAACAGAAAAATCAAAAAAATAATTCAGATAAGGCGGGTTTTGTTGCAGGATGGCTGTTCAATATTGTTTGTTCAATATTGGCTATGAAATGAAGAACGCTATCATTTTATATGTATTTTTTTTATGGGAAATGTAATCGATCGTCATTTCCCAGCCATCTCGACGCCGCTTTTTTTCGATCATGCAGTATTTGCATCACTAAAGTTAAGTAAGGATTTGAAAACACGTCAGTAGTAATATCATACTTGTGCGTGAAATATACAAGTTATGAAAAAATGCTGGATTTGTAACAATAATGACAATAAAAAGCAAATATAAGTGGATAAGACGGATTTTGCTGCAGTAACGTAATTTCTAGTGAATTTTTTGCTACATGAGCTCTTTCCAGAATTATGTAGCACGCCAGCGTAAAACAATATAATTTATATTGTATCTGTTATTATTGCGATTTTCTTAGTTTGAGATTGCTTTATTTCGCTACAAAGTATGGGCTGCAAGAAGCGTATCTATTTAGTATGATTTAAGCATCGAGGGTACTACAAATGTTATTGTTTATTGTGCAAAGTTGCTTGCATTATAATCAAAATAATAAGACGAAGCTGTCTATTCGGGTGTTGATTGTGTTGAATAGCAACCGTGGAAATTATCGAGTTGACTGGATCCTAGTCGGAGTTTAAGTTAAGACCTGGAGAATTTGTGCATCGAGAAAGAGCAAACCCGAATGGATATTTGATCCTAAAGACTTTTAATGAAAAGCATTGAATTTATTATTTCCACCTTTTTAGGAAAATAATCACAACAAAAAAATATCTTACTATCTCATTAGCAATATATCCATATTTTAGAGTCAAAGGTTATATTTTAGAGATAGGTTGTTTTTTGGTTCATCTCAGTAGTTGTATTTTTATTGGAGATATTCTCTTTTGAATAAGGCAAGCTTGCCTTTGTTTTTTGTCCTAATCAACACACTGATCATATTATTGTTTGTTAGTAGTTACTCAATCAAAGATATATTTAAATCCCGAAGTTGATCCCTTCCATCTTCAAGTAAAACATCAATAGCCAATACAACTTCTGAACTTAAAACCATCTCTTCTAGAGTATCTACCAAAATATAATAATAATATGACTTTTCAATAACTCTGACTTTAGAAAAAGAATATTTTATAGATATGTTGATTAGAACTATAAGCAAAATTATGCCTATAATGCCAATATAATTATTGTAAATTGTTACTGTCTTTTTCAAAAGCTAATATTTCCAATAAGAACAAAGATATTGAGATGAATAAAAAAAACTATTGAGAAAATAGGTATCTTAACGTGGACCAATGGACCAATGCTTGCATCCTCAGTGGACAACTTCATGCTTGACTGCAACCAACTCCAGCACGAGGTGTTTCCTTGTGAACCTCCCTGGTTTACAGTATGAACAAAAAATTAAAAACAAATTACCAACGTACTTTTTCACGAGACGCAAGGGATCCGTCTTGAAACTAATGTTAGCACAATTCTTGTCCAACGTCAATTGATCTTGATCGATTTCGATCGATTCGTGTTTATCGTTAATATCCAACTGCAATTTGAAGCGAACCTCGTTCAATTTATTGATTTTCTCCCATGCCTCCTGGCATCTTTCTATCAAAATCTTCTTTACACTTTCCACAACACATAGTTCCTAAAGTAAAAGTCTTATAATATAAATTATTATGTTATATTATATGCCAATGGACAGGCACAGTAAGTTACACAAAAAGGTTATAAATTTGCAAAAAAATGCTGTTATAAGTACTAATCTTTAATCTAAGTATAATCTTAGTATATCTGCACATTTTTATTCGGATTCTTTATTGCGGACGAAATTACTAATGAATTTGTCATGTGAATATACAGGGTGTTTCAAAAAACATGTGCCATCTCTCATGGGGAGATTCCTCACGTAAAAATAAGATTTATTTTTCATATCTTAGCTTATTAGGTTCTATTCTGCTTTGTTTCGTAGCTACAGGGTGTTAGAGTCTTAATATTTTTTCGATTTATTATAATTTTTTTCCAAGCACTTTTAGCGATTAAAATGAAATTTTGAGGGTAAAAGTTACTATAAATGAGACATATTTTAAAGCTAAAAAAGTGCGACATATTCACCAGGAACGCGCATATGGGTTATCACTGGAATATTTTTCTAAAAAAAGAATGTACGCCAATGACTTTTTTCTCTTGTTAGCGAAATAGTATAAGCAGATTAATGCCGATTAAAAGTTGTCTCTTGATATTTTGTCGATTTCGGCCTCCTTGATGAGATAAACGCAATTTTATTAATTTGCCTTGGTCCAAGTCCATAGTAACCTTTTAAAAATTTTAATATCTATAGAATGTTTTAAATAAGTACTCATTGATTCCTCATCAAAAAATATGAAAAAAAATCCTATAAATATGGGTATGGAAATGCATAGTTTTAGAGTTACAGAATGTTAAAACTTTTGAAAATTAAATATTTTGTAATTATTTTAAATACCGTTATTTTTCATTTGAAATTGCTGTAAGTTGGACTAATAGTAATAATATTTAATAATAAATTGGGTAAAATATATAATTTATTAATTTTATTTTTATTTAATTTTATTATTTGCGTTTAATAAAATTGCGTTTATCTTATCAAGGAGGCCGAATTCGACAAAATATCAAGAGATAACTTTTAATTGGCATTAAACGGCCTACACAATTTTGATATCAAAAGAAAAAAGGCAGTGGCGCACACGTTTTTTTTTCGAAAAAATTCCAGTGATAACCCATATGCACGCCCCTGATGAATTTATCGACATTTTTTAGCATTAAATTATGTAGCACATATAGTAACTTTTACCCTCAAAATTTCATTCGAATCCCTAAAAGTACTTGGAAGAAAATTACATTAAATCGAAAGATTATAAAGTTGATATGAAAAATAAACCTTATTTTTACGTGAGGAATCTCCCGACGAAAGATTGCACATATTTTTTGAAATACTTTGTATAAACAATATCTCGTAACTTAACAGATATCTAACTACGTACCCTCTTCAATTCTGTATCTCCTTCATCATAGGTGAGTTCGTTTCCTTGCCTATTATCCCTCATCGATATGCATTCTGATATGACGGTCAACGGTATGCCAAAGGCGTCTATTTCTTTTTCTGTTTCGAATTTTTCGTCTTTTAAAAGACCCACTTCTTTGTCTATTCTTCTGAGACACGCTTCTAGAGTTTCCTAGAAGGTAATTTATATGTTCTGTGCAATAATGTTTTTTTTTTAGTTTAAGAGCATTTTCTACATAACAAGAAATAGCGTTAGATATGCAAGGCCAAGACCAAGACCGATCAGTGCAGGACTTGAAGACTTACCCAAAATCGAGACCAAAACCCAGACCCGGTTTACCGGTATTTACCTTATATATAAAGGGTGAGTTTCCTACGATTGTTCTCTATTCGAAACTACTGGAGATAGAGAGCCGGTTAAATGGGGAAAGAATTGCAGTTTTGTGGGGTCATAAATATGCTCCTTTCAGATTTTTGAAAAAGTTCATGGCTTAATAGATATTTCGAAAAAAAGAAATTTTGGTTATTTTAAAGTTGTCCCTAATTCCATTATAATCTATTTTAGACAAAAAATTTTCAGATAAAAGTTGTAGATAATCACATGCCTAATGAGCTTGTGTTCTCAGATTTTTTCTAAAGCCTATCATTTTAACATATGACACAAACATGTTTTTTTTAAATGGAAACCATTGTTGGCCATGACTTCATAAAAAGCGCCATTTTTTTTAACTTTTCAGCGATATAAGCTATAATCTCGGCTATAATATGTTTTTTTTTTTCACAACTTAGTAATTAAGTTATAGCCAATTCTTATCTTTCTTGACTAATTTCACTTAGTTAGCCACGGAAACAAGTTCAATCGTTGTTGCTCTCAGAAATGTAAAACTGTCACATCCAAACTTTGTAAATTAAAATAAACAAAAATTGTAAATATGAATTTTTCAAATGAAGAAAAGCGTGTAGGATTACGAATATTGGTTCAACATTTCTTGGTCATACAGCTTCGAGGATACGTTGACCGATGAACGTTACTTACGTTTTTTAGAGAACGGTTTTTAAGACATGTTAGAAAAGTTAAATTTAGATACTCACGCATTAATAGAGTGGATCCAACATGACTTTCATTGTGTGAGAAATGAAAGAAATGTTAAAAATTATTTATATCATAATTATGTAGACTCGGGGATAGAAAGAGGTGGACCAACTGCAGGCCTCCCCGATCACCTGACCTATCCATTTTAGATTTTTTATGTGGTATGGTTAACAATAAGGTTAACAAAAGAACTTATGAATTAAGAGAGGCACTCGAAGAGGCGGTACAGTACTTTCCGTGAGAATAGCTAGAAATTCAGTTTTAAAAAGATGCATTTATGTACTCAAAACAATGGCGGAATTTTTGGACATTTTCTAAACTAACTTAAAGTGTATGTAGTGATATTATTTTTTTAAGTTTTAGTTTGTGTATTGGAAATTGTAAAGAGCCGTTTATTAATATATTTTGTCTTTTTATAAGTTATAAATCACAACAAAATAAGAACACTATGCCAACTAAGTGAAATTAGCCAAGAAAGATAAGAATTGGCTATAACTCTCTATAATTTTATATTTTATAATTTTGGGAAAGAAACATATTATAGCTTATTTCACTAAAAAGCTTAAGAAATAGCGCTTTCTATGAAGTCATGGCCAACTAGACTGAGTTAGAACGAATTCATCAATATCAATAACGTTCGTGTTCGAATTTTTTATTTTTAACTTTTTTAAATTTTGAAACGCATTTGAACTAGTTATATTTTTTCTGAAGTCAATTGGAATAGGATGGAATTCTTAATTTTGGTACTGTCTTTGTGGGCGCCATTATCGGTCGTCTGGAGAAACGAATTAAGAGTGCTAGTTAGTTCCAGTTAGAGTGTTAGTTATTTCCAATTGCCTTCGGAAATACTATACACTATTGTCTCTATTATTTATAGTAGATTTCGTTCTATTTAGCTCAGGGCCGATACATCGTTTTACATGGATGACCTTCAACAAATTAGAGACAAGCTGCAATTTTGCATGGAGCTTCATTTTGTAGATCTTTAAACATCCTGAAACCCCAGCGATGAAGCGTTGAGCCCGTCACCCCAAAACCACCCCTACAAGGGGTAAAAGTGGCCCTTTTTTTACTTTTTTTTCAATAACTCTAAAACTACGAATTTTAGGGAAAAAAGCCAAGAGTAAAAAATTGAAGAGAAGAAAATTTCCTACCATATAGGTAAATAATCAAAATTTTTAGAATTTCAGTGGCGCAGGTGCGAATTCTTTAATTTAGGAGGGTTGTTTTAATAACCCACCATTCTGTGTTTAACTTCAAATGAAAGCATTTTTGAGATAAATCTCGAGACCAAAAAATTTATTAGGATACCAGTTCCTATAAAAACGATCTTTTTAATTCAGGGAAGTTACCAGTGGCGGAGATAATTTTTTTAAATGTGCGTTTTTTACATTTTAAAAACAATGAATAAGAAAAATTGCAGTTTTACAAATAATTTCCCATGAAATAGGTATATTGAAAAATTACACGTTTAATAACAAAATAAGAAAAACCTTAGCTCAAAAATAGGATAACTTATCTTAAGGATAGTCCTCATTCACTTCCACATTTGTTGGGTTCATACATGTAATGCCATTGCATTGACCACATGCCATAGTGCAGGTTCAACCAGATATAGCGTGGATACTAAGAATCACATTCTTCAGATCCCCCAATTTTTGTTGTGAGGCCGATATGTCGATTATTTTATTTGGAATGTTATTAAACGTGTAATTTTTTAATATACCTATTTCATGGGAAATTATTTGCAAAACTGCAATTTTTCTTATTCAATGTTTTTAAAATGTAAAAAACGCACATTTAAAAAAAATATCTCCGCCACTGGTAACTTAACTTAATTAAAAAGATCGTTTTTATAGGAACTTGTATCCTAATAAATATTTTGGGCTCGAGATTTATCTCAAAAATGCTTTCATTTGAAATTAAACACAGAATGGTGGGTTATTAAAACCAATCCTCCTAAATTAAAGAATTCGCATCTGCACCACTGAAATTTTGGTTCTTTACCTATGTGGTAGGAAGTTTTCTTCTCTCCAATTTTTTACTCGTGACTTTTTTTCCTAAAATTAGTAGTTTTACAGTTATTGAAGAAAAAGTAAAAAAAGGGCTATTTTTACCCCTTGTGGGGGTGGCTTTGGGGTAACGGGCTCAACGCTTCATCGCTGGGGTTTCAGGATGTTTAAAGATCTACAAAATGAAGCTCCATGCCAAATTTGCTGAACCTCAGCTTGTCTCTAATTTGTTGAACCTCGGCCTGTATAGGCTCTGGGCTAATTTATATTTCATAATTTTTAGAATATGATTGTTTAAAAGTATTATTAAGTAAGCATTGAAGTACATTGACACTCATTGACACTCATGAATACTTGTTGCTCAAGTTGTACTCGGCACAAGTTGTATTCTGATCTGTTATCTCAGTAATCCTGCATGTTAAAGGAAAATCTGTATAAACTGTTCTTAATTTTTGCAACTAACTGTTTCACAGAAACTTTTATTAGTAGCATCGCTGCGATTAAAAATTATAACATATTTTTTGGTCCAATTTAGCTGTAAATAATATATTTTTGTCATACGCTCCCAAAAACAGCTATTTTACGGACTCATTTCAGTCCGTAAAATGTTTCTTTTTCGGCCTAGGCCGTAAAGGTCGTCATGGCAACCTTTATGGACTAAAATGTCTAAATTCGTTATTTGGTTGTTTTATTTTGTCATTCGAAATTTGTCACAAAATCACATAAAATTATACATATATTTATAATTAAATTATTAAATACTAACAATATCAAAAGCTAAGTTATTTGTTTAAAGTAAGTACCTAGGTACCTATTTAAAAGAGGCTTTTAAATTAAAATATTCTTAAATTACAGTCACAAACAAGACATAATCATGTGGTACATTTTTGGCCTAAGACAAGCATATTTTCTATACAACTCAACTGGATTGACAACGTTCCCTTCGTTCACCACCGGAAACACTCTTTTGATATTAGTTTTTGTATCCGCAAGGGTAACTAAAAGGCAGCTGTTGTCTTTTTCTATGATGTCTTGCACTCGTAGAGAGTACAATTCTTCTCTTCTACATGCTCCACAAAGGCCAATGACAAGAGCTACCTAAAAATCAAATACAATGGAATAAGAAACCATCTATATATTTTAAAAATCATTATCGCAAACTTACCTTAGTAAGTAAATAAGTTTCATCACTAGCCGTGGCCAAAAAATCACCGATCTCTTTTATGGACAAAACCTTAGACTTTTTAGGCTCGTAACCAACCGAATTCCTCTTCAAAAAAGCAATAAGTTTTGGAAATTTGTCAATATAAATATCTTCTTTAACACTTAACACTGCTCTCAGCATGGAATATTTCGACCAAATTGACGATGGTTTGAATGTTTGTGACTGTAATTTAAGAATATTTTAATTTAAAAGCCTCTTTTAAATAGGTACCTAGGTACTTACTTTTTCGTGGAAATAATTTAGCAATACATCTTCATTTACAACGAATACGCCATTTTTGTCTTTCCATTCATTAAAAACATCATATTCTTTCTGGTAAATGGCACGAGACTTCACAGGAAGTAAATCCAACACGATTTCTTTGGCCTTATTAGCAATATGTTCGGGATTTTGGAACATTTTAAAATTGTTGATGAATTTGTGTGATTTTGTGACAAATTTCGAATGACATGTCAAAATGCGATGAAATAAACAAACTCGTTACTAAGATATGAATTTATAAGCCAACTTTTTCAAACATTATAATTTCAAATATGGAAAATTTGCAAATATGCGTTCTAAAAAACTGTAAAAAGCGTATGACAAAAAATAGTGTATGTAACACGTACCTAAATTATGTTTTTTAGGACTCATCTACTATTTCGGACTCGGCTAACGCCTCGTCCGCAAACAGTAATGATTCGTCCTAAAAAACATCATTTTAGGTACTAGTTACATAAATAGCTATTTTAAGGGACTTCTTAATAATAATAAAAATGATATGACTATTATAGCATTATAGAATAAATATTGTTATAAATTTATTACAGTCGCAATAAAAGGTCGAAATAAAGGCTTTAGGCTCTAATATTTTCTGAGCTCTGGCAAATTTGGCTTCTGGCTTATAACCTAGTCCATATTTCTTTCTTTAATGATTACCACAATTACCAGTCTTTGAAGACGATTTTCCGGTTATACTTTACAGCGTTTTTAAGCCATTTTTACCGGGAAGTCGATAAACCGGTAATGCAATCCCTAATTTAGATGTAAGAATTTTGTTTAAGACTTGTAGAAACCTACCTTCCATCGGTCCAGTTCCGTGATACGATCACCCAATCGGACATTGTTGTGGTAAGTGTCCCAATCCGTTCGAATTCTAGTCTCGTTTCGTAGCTGCCTGGCTTCGTGCCTTAAATTGAAGGCGTCGCTTCTTCTGGCATCGTTCGTTTGTTGATTTTCCCATTGTTTGGCGAACCAATCGGCTAGTCCGATATGGGGTAATGGTTTCTCGTAGGTTACTACTGACATGTTTCAATCTATAATCAGAATAGTACAAATGTTGAGCGAGTTGTAGCTAGTTGCTGCAACGAAGTAAAGGAACCGTTTTTAACAAAAATAGAGAAAAATAAATGTGCCCGGTGGCGTAGAGGTACAGGCTCTTATCTACCAATCTGAAGGTAGTGGGTTCGAATCCCACACCCGGCATTTCATCAGCCGACTATTTTTATTAAAATAAAAATAGTTTGGGTACCTAGGTCGACTCAGCCTTAAATGAGTACTTGGGATTCACAATCTTGAGGTAATAATAGGCGGTTGAGGCGTAGTGCTAGCCCCATTACCTTCCTTGTATACCGAACGGCTCTAGTATGGCAAGCTGTACCTTGCTACTAACCTAACCTAACCAAGGCGTTAAACTCTATACACGGGAGCTATTATTATTATAGAGAAAAATATTTTAAGTTTGGTTTGGTGGAAGGATGGAGATACAGACACATAGTCACTTTCTATTTATGATTTAATGTACATTGTTAGAATCGCAATGATTTACCTATTTAGGTGTGTAAAAATCTAATTAAATGGCGCCTATAAGAAAAAATAAAGTTTATAATGTTGGTTAAAAGACGAAACGTCGGATGACAAATCCGAAAACACTGGTGTGTCTCTGGAAAAATGTGGCAATGAAAATGTGCTTTTAGTTTTAGGATACCTTGTAAACCAAATAACGCAACGTCACAAAAATTTCCTAATTTTTTTTTCTCGAATATCTCCGGCACTACTTGGCTCTTTAAATATCTCTAAACGGCATATTATTAGGCACATATCTATGCACAACGTTGCCCTAATTGAACCATCCTTTTCTCCTATTGTTTTCGAGATCCCAATGTTGGGGTCGAATTTAAATTACCCCGTATAGTTATTTTTTAAAAATAGGTTCCTATTTTCGGAGCTGTCTGTACGAAGACATTATTAATTACTTAAGATTACAAATCCCACGTTAACAAAACCAGTTTCTTCATACTAAAGAAACAGGTGAATACCCCAAAAACTGCATAGTATTAAAATTATCACTTAGCATATAAACAAAGAAGAATGACAAATAGTATAGTTTGTAAAATACTGTCGAGACATGTTAAACCCATGATGTTTGAAGTGACACAATGAGAAGTGACATTAAAATATTAATTTGAAAAATAAAAGTCGCAAAAGTGAAAACAACACATTCTTATAGAGTCGATCTGCCGGCTATTTGATTGCTTGTAAGCGCGGCTCCATAAGAATATATGAGTCAAGTTTCATTTAGCCGAAATTTGTTAAAAAAGAAAAAAAAATTGTCATTTAGGTACCTCAGGGAGTATATTACTGAAAAAATTTTGCCGCGGAAATGCGTCGTTACCATTTTTTGAATGCGGTTTAAAAGTAACGAAATGACATATACATGAAAAATTAATGTTATTATATATTTTAGACGTCTTTGTAACTACTAATACGAAAATGAAAATCCGCGGAAATGCGCTGTTGCCATTTTTTGAATACGGTTTAGAAGTAACGAATCGAAATGAGATACTATATAAAAAATTAAAAGTCTGCAATATAAATTAATGTTATTTTATATTGTAGAATTATTTTTAGGCACTGATAAAAAAATGAAAATCCGCGGAAATGCGTTGTTTCACCACTATCTTCTTCCCGACCTTTGATGATCAATGAATAATATCTATTCTTATCAACTTAATATCGCTATGGTCAATAAAAGGGAAAATTAAAAAAAAAATATCAATAAAGCATATAAAAACGACAATCCTGATAAGGCATAAAAGGTTGGTATAATATATACATTGTACATAATATATGTGAATTTAATATTCTACATTCAGTTGAGTTGAACCATTTCGTTCATATTTACGTTCAGATTATTTACAAAAATGTCGACTCAAGTTGTAGAAATGGCTCTTCCTCGTTCGCGACAAGAAGCTTATGAATTCGGTCTTTTACATGGTTTGTTGCCTAAACGCCCCTTATGTAAAACCAAATGTAAAGGGCATGGTAACAAACTTGATTCAAAAAGGTTGTTCAAAATCAGCAAAGTGTCGTCCAGATCAAACTGTCGCAAAACACACATGGTTTGAACCCGAAATTGTAATATCATTTGTATCCCGAAATTGAAATAAGGTACGGCTTTTTTCTTCTTTAAAAAATTCATAACAATATTATTAAATATTTTAGAGACTTGTTTGGTTTGGTTTTAGTCGTACGAACTGATAATATTTGGTGCAACACGTCCAGATTCGGAAATGCATTTGTCGAAAGCAACGCTTGTAGCAAGACATAAATATTGCTGTGAAATGGTTACTGGAAGTGCTCTCTCGCAAATGCAAACAAATCTACCGAAAATTGGAGGTCCCAATATTATCGTGCAGGTAAAATCAATAATAAATATCTATCAATTTAACTAAATAACAATCAAACATTTTAGATTGATGAATCGAAATTCGGGTCTCGAAAGTACCTATAGTAGAGGAAGAATAGTTGAAGGTCACTGGATATTTGGCATGATAGCGAACGGCTCAGAAGACCTCAAACTAGTGATCTGTCCTGACAACAAACACGATGGGGCAACCCTAATCTCCATACTGAAGCAACATGTGGAAAAGGGCTTCATTATCCATTCGGACATGTGGAAAGCTTATGATAAACTATCCAAATATGGGTATCAGCATTGTACTGTAAACCATAGAGAGGAATTTGTTTCCCAGGAAGGGATCCATACTCAACATGACTCAAAGAATTGAGTCATGTTGGTCTGCTGCCAAAAAATTTTTAAAAGGCGAACATACATATTCCACGAGATGAATTCGCAGATCGCCTTTTGAATATTTATGGCGACGCAATTGCAAAAAAAAACTTAGATCCATGCATAGAGCTTATTCGTTGTATCCATTAGAATATGGCCACGATAACGAAATTGTTTTTCTGTTAATTATAAGACGCAGTAAGAAGGTCAAAATCTCCAATAAATACAAAAAACTGCGTATATATTATATTCCCCACCCAGCACCCCACTTCACTCCACAATCCCGAAAGTATGTAAAAAAGTTAAGAATACTATGAAAAACTTCGAAATATTTAAGTTTTAAGTCTAAGATTTTCCATTACACCGCCTTTATGATAAATTTCCACGGAAAAAGTTATATAGAAAAGTTATAGCAAATTATTAATGAAATAAAAATATGCAGTTTTTATCTTCCTATCACATTTCGGCACTTCTAAAACCGAAAAAATCAATGAAAATTATTGTGATAAAAATATATTTTCGAATAAAAATTAGTTCACATCGTTGCGTTAAATGTTTTTACATCATTCTATAATGAAAAAAAAACTATTAAAAACACTGTAAGTTTTAAATTTTAGTTAATAATATAAAAATTAAAAATTCGAGTTTTCTCAAAAACAAATAATTTCCGCGGCAAAAATCAAGTTATGTAGTTGCTAGTTTTCTTGTATAGAATCATCCTATAAACCGATATTCTATGTAACTGATTTCGGCTAAACGAAACTTGAGCCAAGAGGAAGAAGAAGACAGAAAAATGATTCATTTAGTAATATTTAATAATTAGATACTTTTTTTCAAATATGCGATAATTATAATGAGTAGTGTATATTATGTAAATAAAATAATTTTCAATTGTCATAAATGCACATTTAATTTACACATTCCTTATCTTATTTATCTTAGAGTATCAGTCTAGAAGTATTATTAATTTAATACCTGACGTCACTACAATTTAATTTGTTAAAGAATCAATTTGTTAGTTAAAAACTATGACGAAAAATACTATGTCGTCATTGTCTGACACATGAATATACCGACGTATTAATAAGTAATTGAGCAATATTGACTTCCGGAAAATCTTTACAATGTATGAATGAATGCTGTTTGCTAAGTGATATGGAAACCACAATATAATGCAGCTTAAACTAATATGTAGTAATATGTTTGTTTGCGTGGGATTATTTCTATTTATATATATTTAATGCTTTTTACTTTCCTCGATCTCGATAGTATGTTTTTCAAAAAATTGTGGCAGTAGTGTTATAGTATTTCTTACTCATACAATTAGAAACCGTTATAACGAAGCCTAGGAGAAAACAAAAAGAAGTATTTATGATGGCATATATGCACCATATTGTTGCATCAGCTTTATGACCTAAAAAGCTTCATTTCCATTTTTGGCAATATCATATCGACGTCATGACATGCCCAATAATGCTCATGCCAAATTTTAATTTTATATTCATTTAAAAATTTCAACTATCTCAAACACTATTCATAAATAATTGAAATTACTAAATTGCTATCCTGTAGCACAAATCGAGACACGCCTTTTCGTCAAAAAGTAGACGATATGAACGACCAAAAAAAGTGTCAAGTTGGCTTGGAGACGATCGATGAATGACGTTCACTATTTCATTTAACATAATATAAAATGAGAACGATCTTCATTTCCAAGCCCATTCTGACGCCGTTTATTTTCGATCGTATGGTATATGTATACTAATGTATAGGCATGTACTATTTTGTAGTGTTGGGAAAAATCGGATGATTTCAATCCTCGAGTATTGATCCTCGAGGATTCCAATAATCGGATGATCATCCGAGGAATCCTCGGTCATAAAATTTTCTCTGATATATCTCGATCAAAACCTGAATAATACTCGCCGCTACGCTGGGTGGTAAAGAGAATGTTGGACAAGAAATCAAGAATATGCCGAAAACGTAAACATAAACAATAAGAATCTTAAGTTAGATCAATAATGTTATAACGGTAACGGATAGGTAAAGATAAAAACTGTTATTTCGGTCTTTCCGATACTCCGATTCATCCGATCTTCCGGTTCAACCGGTCTTTCGGTCCATCCGGTCTAGTCGGTATACCGGTTCAGTATCGGTACCACCGATCTAATTGTTGGAAGCGGTATACCGGTTGTAGGACCGGTACTCAGTGATACCCGATACCGGTACTGAAATATTATGACC